TTTTCATAACTTATATATTGCACTATATAGGGAGTCAACCTAAGAAAAAGAGGAAAAGTGCAGAGAATTGGGAGAATGTGACAAATTCACTATTTGCCTTCCAAACATTGAACCCAAACCTCTTTAAGAAGTAAAAAGGTGAGAATACTGATGATATCTTCATATCTTAGCAGCAACAGTACAATTTAGATGTGTAATAAAAGTCTTACAGTGCACAAATGCAAAGCCAGAGCTGGTGTGACTTGAGCCACAGTTTGGCATGTTGGCAAACAGTTAATCGCTGGTGTTTAGCCAGCTTTGAGACAACTAAACCTTTGTTCCTAGAATCTACACTAATGCGATTGGGAAATGTGCAGCCTGTAACATACATACAGTCTACAAACTGCAGACTGAAGACTCATTCATCAGAACAGGCTGCGCAACATTCAATACTCTATAATGTTCAGAAGGAACCACTTATGAATGAGTATTAGAACTAGAACGACACTCTCCAAAGTGATGGTTCTTCAAGGGTTCTTTGGTGAAGAAAAGGGTTCTATATAGAACCATGCACACTCAAAGAATGCTTTGCATGATTGCATTGCTAAATTGTTCTTTAGATTGAGGGAGAAAGTGCTGTAGATGGTGGTACATGGAACCCTTTTTAAAAAGGTTCTTGTAGAATCTTTTTTTAAGTGTGTAGTATTAACCAGCAGTGTTTAGAGAAGTCTTAATCCATACTTACTTTTTAGTAAAAGTAAAAGTACCTTTCCAAAAACAACTTCAGTAGAAGTTCACTGTTAGAAATAAAGGTTCTGTGCAGGTACAGTTAATGTTCATAAAGGTACCTCAAAGGTACAACAGTGGTTTTAAGGTCTGATTGTGAACCTTAAATAAGTTTTTCCAGGTGAAAAGTTTGTATTTGTACCTTTTCATAACCGAATGTTTTAAAACAGAACAGTAAAATAAAAGCCTGGAGACGAGACGGGGTGTGTGGAGTCAGTACAGCTTAGAACATATCATTTCAGTGGATTATGGTTCAGTTATGTTCCCTGACTAAAGGTACTGAGATGTACCCTTGAGGGAACCACACCAGTGACAGTTTAGTACATTTATTTCTGGGAGTGTAGAGGGAGCATGTAAAAAAAAATACTACTACTGTACTGAGTGACTTGCACTGAGTGAACTGCAGTGGAGCTCCTTAGTGTATCAGTATCCATCATCATAGGAAATGCTCTATTCTTCTCTCTTTGGGATCATTCTAGTCTAAATTAAAATCCTAAGGCTTTAAAGTGAAAACTGTGAGCAACAGTAAAGCAGTCCAGGACCTGAACCAACACAACACAATGGAATTAAACCCAATAAAAGAATTAATAACAAAATATTAAGGACTAAAATGTGATTGAGTGAAAAGTCGATTCCTTTCCTCACTAAAATACCTGAGTAGAAGGAAAACTTTTGAAAATACTCAGGAAAGCAGAAATCCATCATAACTGTCCTAAATGACATGTACCTATGTGAACAGAATTAGTCTCATTAACCTCTGGTTCTGCTGCGTTAAAGGACCCATATTAGGGAAAATTCTTCTCACATTTCTAATATAATAGAATTTACTGTAGTATGTAAACGTTAAAGTTTCAAAATGTACCATTCGCTCCACAGTCCATACAGTCCGTACATGGAAACTAAACTGCAAAACAGCTCAGGTTGAATTGATTGTTTTTGTGATGTCACAGTGTATTTACATATATATACCTATTCATCCTACAGCAGTTTAGCTCCACTCATTCACAATGAAGTTATGAGGAGTGTTCCAGCCTGGACTGTTTTATAATTGAAGCACAATATATATATATAGCCTCTAACTGCTAATTCACCTTTTAACCCTAACCCTGAAGGTTGCTGAGCAGACTGCCAGTCACCATAGACAACAATCTCACCTAGCTAGTAGCTAACAAAAAGGCAAAGAGAAAGATTTAAGACAAACATCGATTATTTGGAGACAAACAGACTTATTTGTGTTTATAATCACTCCAGCTGGTTTCCTGATACGTTTAATCTGCAATGGGAAACTGTCAAAGACTAAAAAGTCACAAAGCTGAAGTCGCTTCTCATTCTCCAGCTTCTTGTTCGAATTGTCCCGTTCCACCTTAAATGGTGCAGCAGTAACATTCTGGCGCCTCAGGTACCATTTAGCGAGAATCTGGAGAATGAGAAGCGACTTCCTCATAAAAAGTCAAACGTTGAGAGACATTTTACAAGAAACTGTTCTACTTTTGCGGAAAAGTTTCCTGCTGGAGATGCGAGAAAAGCAGCTATAGCTGAGCTAAAGCTTAAAGCAGAGCAACGTGTGTGTTTTTATTTATATTATATTTTTATTCTACACTAGTATATTAGCTCATACTAAGACATATTAGCAGCCAAGATGCTAAAACATTACTTTAATAAATTGGACATAAAATGTTGTGGCTCCCAAGGTGGTTTGATTTTTGTTGAAAGGACAAAATGGCTCTTCTTAACATTATACTTACCGACCCCTGGACTAAGAGATAAAGAAAGGCTGTAAAATATGAATGTAAGAATTATGAAATGAAATATTAATGTAAAAATAAATCATGGCTGCTTTTGCTACATAAACCCACAAAAATGTTATAAGTGGACCTCAGGGGAAAAATTAACATACAGGACAAACGTAGGATCTGGGCCCTTTGAATCCAATGCCACACTGGTGGGTTTATTTGCTTCCCTGAAAGACACAGTAAGACCGTTTTAAATGAGGTGAAGATGGCACACATAGTGTAATTGTGGGATTAAAGGCTAAATTGTCTGTTTGGAAGCAGGACATCGGTCCTTCCTCTTGGTGCTCTGCCCTGGCTGTGCCCACACAAGCCTCATCTGTGTGGGCTGCTTTAATGGGACACAGTCAATAATCACATTATGGATCTCTTGACTAAGCAAGCACTAAGTATGAGCTCACGCCTACAGGTCAGCGAACAGGGCAGACATATATACTATATATGGAACTGAGTAAACAATCTAATTCAATCAATTTCCCTCTTAACCTCTTAACCCTCTACTGCACACATTATGAGAGCAATTAAAAAAAAATCAATTCACTTTTCTTGCATAAAATAGTCCTTTATTTTTTGGACCTGATTATTAAATTCAAAAACATTAAAAATAATAATAATAATGTATGCAGGGGTCCTTTTGGAGTATGTTGCCTTGAGGCAACATTGTGCAGCAATGGGAAGAAATGATATACAGCCATATTCCCTGAAGTGGTGAGACCTGGCTTGTGACTGGCTAAATCCATTCCACTGTCACACAATGTTGCTTCTAGGCAACAAACATATTTCTGCAAAATCCCATGACAAAAAATTGATACTCAATGTTTAAAAAGAGGTTTAAAGAGATAGTATGACCAAGCACGTGCTTTTTATTGACACACTCAAACTTTTCCCTTTAGTGTTAACCCTATCATTGTCTTTAAATGTGTATAATGTTATTGTACAGTGAGGAAAATGAGTTTGTTGCCCTGAGGCAACATTGTGCAATAGAGGGTTAACCTAAATGTAAAGTGCATCAGACATGGTTGGTGCTTGAAGTTAGGATTATTTATGTGGTTTCTGAAACTGCATGGACATACTGTTTTCTATAAAGATGGACAAAAGTACATGACATGCAGTGACAAAAGTCGGAGACCAGCCTTCTTTTTTTCAGTGTTTAGTTTGTCCACTTTTTCCCTTTATTCCAGCTTCCATTCTTTTCTGGAGACTCACTTTCAGTTTCTCAAGTAAACCTGCAGACACACCTCCAAAGTTCAGTCTTAGAAGTTGTTTGATCATTTTCTGAAGTAATCAAACACATTCAGTGGTGTTGAGGTCTGGACTCTGGGGTGGTCAGTCCATTGTTCAGCTTCTTTGTTTGATGTGTCCGTCTCCTTTTCTCAGTGAGGTTCTTCTTGATCAGCTACACATCCTTTCAGACCCACAGCGCTGAGTCGTCTTCTCACAGTGGAAGGATGGACAGAAACACCTGTGGATGTTTTCAGATCTGAAGCAGCTTGATTTTCTCCTCTCTCTCAAAGATGGAAGCTTTAAGTGCTGTTTATCTGATGGGGGCAGTTTTGGGGTCTACCAGCTCTTCCAGGTGGTTGTTAGGAGCCAAATTTTCTCTGTAGCTTTTTGTCATTTTTTGGAAACTCTTGTTTTCCTTTGACTTTCTTCATGCAAGTGGATTATCTCACATCTAATCTTATCAGAAATATCTCCTAAAAAATGAATAACTTGCACTTAATGGCAGTTTGACTGGAAATAAAATGAATGAAGGGGGCTCTTTGAATTTGTACCGTACTTATGCTAAAAACAGTAATAGCAGCCATTCTGAAGCCTGAATTCTGTCTGAACCTTTGTCTATTTTTAAAGATAAAAGTTAGCTACATGAGCTTCATAGTACCGGCGCAAAACTAACGAAGCAAACTTTGAACATCAAACATGCCTGGCCTGACCAACCACACAGGGGGAAAATGTGTAAATTTTATTTTTTAACATTTTTTAATTTTTTAATGATATTCTACAACAGGTTGTATAGAGACATGTTTATATTTTGCTGTATAAGTGATATGCTTTTTATCAACTTTCAATTTCTTTTACCACCCACTGCTGGATAAGACACCACACAGGTAGCAGTGAGTGTTTGTAACACAAGGCCAGTGGCAGATTGCTCTCAGGCAGCCAGCGCATATAAGCAGATTGAATCTGGTTTGATCCTGCAAGCCAAAAGCCACCGTCCACCTGCCAAGAGTGTGACCAGCTTTCACCACCACACACACAGACCCATCACTTTAAAGACGGATCAATAAATGAGGCCTCATAGCTGATGAAATTACATCATAGTTTGGAATCAGTCTTTCATCTTCAGTAAATACAAATATGGTTGTTCCTACTCTCTGCTGCCACTCAGTGGTATTACTGGGAATTATTTATTTGCTGCTTTTTGTTTCCTCCATCAGCAGAGGCATGCAGGTTAGACTGTTAAGGTTTATTGCCAACCAAAATGAATTACTATCATGTAATTCCTTATTATTATATTATTATTTATTTTTTTATTTTATTAGATATAATAATACACTTGCATAAGGAAAGAGAAAGTCAAAAGAAGAAAAAACAACAACAAAAAAACAAAAAACAAAACAAAACTAGTGTTAAAAAACTGATTAAAAGCTACAGACAAAATGTGGCTCCTAACAACCACCTGGAAGAGCTGGTAGACACCAAAACTGCCCCCATCAGATAAACAGCACTTAAAGCTTTCATCTCTGGCACAGAGAGAGGAGAAAATCAAGCTGCTTCAGATCTGAAAACATCCACAGGTGTTTCTGTCCATCCTTCCACTGTGAGAAGACGACTCAGCGCTGTGGGTCTGAAAGGATGTGTAGCTGTCAAGAAGAACCTCACTGAGAAAAGGAGACGGACACACCAAACAAAGAAGATGAATGATGGACTGACCACCCCAGAGTCCAGACCTCAACACCACTGAATGTGTTTGATTACTTCAGAAAATGATCAACCAGCTTCTAAGACTGAGCTTTGGAGGTGTGTCTGCAGATTCTTTGAGGAACTGAAAGTGAGTCTCCTGAAAAGAATGAAAGCTGGAATAAAGGGGAAAAGTGAACTAATAAACTCACTAATAAATAAATAAATAAAAGATACATGTATTATATCTATATATGTATACATAAGATTAAAAATGCACCTAAAAAGAAAAGCACAACAGTAAAACGTAAAGTAAAAGGTCAGAGACCACATTATTAAGTATATATTATATAAAATTACATACAGTTAACAACTAGTTGTTGAGGCTTCTGTGTAATTTTATATAATATATGTTTTCTGTATTTTTTTCTTTAATGCTGAAAAATGAATAACGTGTACTGAATGGCCATTTTGACTCGAAATGAAATTAATGAGGGGGGTCTGTGACTTTAACTTTACATTTTACTGTTGTTTTTTAGCGTGCATTTTTAACCCATGTGTACACCAATACACTAAAACAATGCGTTAAAATAATATAATTATGTTATTGTAAAAATGACAGGATTATACAAACATAAGCAGGAAAATTTCATTCTTTCATTCTCTCAGGTAAATAAATTCATATTTGTTTCAGATTCATTTTATTAAAAAAATACAAATAAATAATACAAATAAATAATAATGATAGCTTTTCCTCCCACTGAACCCTTCAACGTCTAAGTACAACTCCTAAATGCATAGTTATGTCATGTTGTGTTTATACTCCTGGTGTCCTGCAGTATAAAGACCCGTTCCAGTGAAATGAAAACGAGCCGCCAATGAAATACAGAGGAAAACAAAATTCCTGCCCAGTCTGAAACTCTATAATTAACCCTCCAATCAAATGTTTGGAAGTGCCTGCCCCGCATATAAACAAAAGGCAAGCATATAGCCTATGAGCTTCCAGGAAGGAAATAATCGCGTAAATGAAAATAACCCAAGTCCTTTCTCTAATCCTCGTCTATCCTTTTTATCTGGGGATTCAGCGCAGGCTGTCCAGTATGGACTACTGAGGCAGAGAGAGAGAGAGATCACAGCGATGGTGCTGCTGCTGCAGGAGCACCAATAAGGCGCTTGTGGTTGGATTTTTTAGGTTTTTGACACTAGGCTAGAGCGGTAGGATAGTTCATAAGAGTGCAGAGATGCTGGGCCGTGTGCGTTTGGGGTTTTGCCTGGCGTTCTGTTGCCTTCCTCTGCTGTGCGGTGCCTGTCCTGCACAGTGCAGCTGCTTTTACCACAAACTCAGCGATGGATCCAAGGCGAGGTAGGAATTCGTCTTTACTCCATGGCTCAGATTGCTCAGATATATTAGTTTTAAGTGCAGGATAGAGGCATTTCAGATGAGCTGCTTGTGTGTGGGCAGAATTCATTCGCAGTCCAGATTTGCCCTCCTCTCTATTTAGTATAGGATTAACTTGGGAATGCTCTTTAATCTTCTTTCCTTAGCTGCAGCAGTGCAGGCCTATTCTCTCTACAGGAAAACAGAGAAAATGCAAATATTCATATTCAAGATTTGGTGTGCATGTATATACTGTGCAACAGATGCTTATACGCTGATTTATAATATACAGAATACAGTGATAGTGTATAGAGGCCACATAGCGTCCATCAAAAGTCCATCGTCTGTCAATGTGGAATAAGTTTTAAGATCATCGGTATAGGCACAAAACCTTGCATCCTTATATTTGTCATTTTTTTCCTTTTTTGACAGTTAGAAAACAGCAGCTGTGCTACAAATTTAAATTAAATGTCATGATGAATGGAGAAGAAACAGAATAAAACAGGAATGACTTAGAATACAGTCTTTTTACATTAATTTACATTGAAAATTAAGAACCTTATTTCCTTCTTCTGTAAATTTAACGTTTCAGAGGTTTTGTTTGCAACACCAACAACATTTTAAAGACTATGCAAATGTTTTTTAGATGTAAATATCCGTAATATCTGTAAACATATGTGACAATATTATCAACAGTTTGGAAAAGAAAATCAAGTCATTATTTAGGCCGAATCTGCTCTTCGTATCAAGGAAGAAACTTTGATGAACATCAAGCTGAGAGTTGATGCTAAACATAAAGAGTATCAAATACAGCCTTTGTAGAACATTAGACTGAAAATGTACATTTTAAAAGGTGTCCCCAAACTTTAGCAGGCTGTGCAGATAAAACCCCTTGAAGGTAGATTTTGTATTGTAAAAGAAAATGTCTTCAAAATACAGTTTACTGTAAATTTACAGATTTTTCAAATAATTCTGCATAAGTTAGTGGTTGAGATGAAAACAGAGTCATTCAGAGTAGTTTGGTTTGAAATTGCTCATTGTAGAGACTAGAGACAAGAGATTTCTTTACAGTGGTGGTGATGGGAACCAGGGCTCACAACATCTACAACAGACATATTAGCATTTTATTTACTATCAGAAACCACCAGTGAACCTACACGTGTCTTCTGGGTTTTATATGTAATGATGATGGTAAAATAGTGATAAATCTGGAAAAATAAGGCTCCTTTGGGGACTAATTTGCCTCACAACACCCTGCACATCTCCACCATGACTGCCATAAAACAATATCTCAGCTAGCAAGCAACATATTGAAACCATTTAATGTAGTAACTTTCCGTGACGGAGCTTTTAGAGGCATTAAACTCGTCAGATGTCTGGTTCCTATCAGCACCACTGTGAAGAATTCTGTAAGTTTCTCTAGAGCGGAGCATTTCACAGCAAACCACTCTGAATGACTTTACATCTTAACTTTATTTATGCTGATTTGTTAATAAATCAATGGAAATCCTTTTTAATAGTATTGTGTAAATGAGACAAGTGTTTCTTTGAGGTCTTCTTTAGGCCATCATGGAATTTTTCACATTTTAATGTACGTGAATACTGTGCAACAGATGTCAGTACACTGGTTTGTAATAATATATATCATAACCCTGTATAGTGTAAACAAATACAGTAGATTTAGTATTCTGAAAAACAATATCTTTGATATTTAATATTGCATGAAGCACATTTTGATTGTCTATCATTGTCAAAGCTGTAGAGAAAAGATTGATTGTCTCTGTATGACTGTATAAAGTCCATCGCTGCCAATTTATCCTGAGTCCTATCATTTTTATCTATTTCCTATCTTTATTTATACAATTAGAATCACAAATCTAACCTACAATTTGCATTTTTGTAGGAGTGTTCTGTGCAACGACCCCGAGCTCACCCTCGTCCCCACCAACTTCCCTGCGGACACGTCCAAGCTCCGTATCGAGAAGACCGCCATCAGCCGCATCTCCCCCGAAACCTTCCACTACCTCAGCAGTCTGGAGTTTCTCTGGATGTCCTTCAACTCTCTCTCCACGCTGCACTCGGACAGTTTCCGCGGCCTCTATGCGCTGGACGAGCTGCGGCTGGACGGCAACTTCATCACCTCCTTTCCGTGGGACTGCCTGACGGACATGCCCAACCTGAGGCTCCTGGATTTGCATAACAATAAAATCACAAGTATTCCAGCTGAAGCCACAATCTACATCAGAAACCTGACTTACCTGGATCTGTCCAGCAACAGCCTGACCACGGTGCCCCCAGAGGTGCTGACAATGTGGTTCTCTCCAAAGCTGACACAGGACACTGAAAACTCCAAGATGATTCTGGGTAAGATTTATTATTTTTCTGTAAAATATTTGAATCGATTTTTTTTTCTGTGAGTTTCTGTATGATACAAGTTTTATATCTCATTCAAAATAACAGAATTGTTTTTTTGAAAATGTAGAGATTTTTTTACTTGTGGTAGATCGAGTGAAATAAATACCTTATCTTTAGAAATATGTTAGCATAATGCAGTAATAACTTGGATATCAGTTTGAACATCAAGGTTTGACCCCTTTAAACCCCCTTAAATGGCCAAAGAGTTATTACACAATTCCATAACTTAAGAATAGCTCAACTAGTTTGCATTGAAGTCTCTGTATATACTGACTAATAAGCCTTAGTATGTCATAAGCCTGAGATTTTAGGGGTTAAATTAAAGTAAGCATCCATCCATCCATCAATCCATCCATCCATCCATCCATCCACTCATCCATCCATCAGTTTCATAGTAGTTACTGAGCAAGAGGGTAAATCGTCAGTAATCTAAAATTATCATCATCACATGATCATCATCTGTTAATCCCATTTGACCCCTCAAATTCTGTTTGGCTTATTTTTCAGTTATTGATCTCAAGTTTTATTATTCAATACTATACTATGCTACTATGAATTATTCAGTAGCTTCTATATTCTATACACACATGTATTTATCAGTTAGAAATGGCCAACAGGTCCTTAAAGATTAAGACCAATTTTTTTTTCCCTCCAGGTCTCCACGACAACCCATGGCAATGTGACTGCCGTCTGTTTGACCTGGTGCAATTCCAGAAGTCTCCGTCCTCGTCCGTGGCATTTATCGACACGCGGCTGCGTTGTTCAGAGCCTGAGAGTCTGTCCGGCGTCCTCTTCTCGGACACGGAGCTGAGGAAGTGCCAGGCACCTCGCGTCCACACGGCCGTGGCCAGAGTCCGCAGCTCTGTGGGAAATAATGTTCTGCTTCGCTGCGGAACCATTGGGGTACCCATCCCTGAGCTCTCCTGGTCTCGAGCCGATGGCAAGCCCCTGAATGGGACAGGTATGTTTGGTAAGCCATTACCACCTCATCTCCTCTCTAGTAGCTATGAGAAAAGTCGTAAGTGCAAAAGCTACAGAATGTGAGCCCAAATAAATAACAAATGATTGCTGTTTTATTTTACAGTAAACAAATGTCTACTCTTTTATTTTACAGTCCAGCAAGAGGTTTCAAAGGAGGGCATCATCTGGTCTGTCCTCAGCGTTCCTGCCGTGTCCTACCGCGATTCAGGCAAATACGTCTGCAAGGCCACAAACTTCGTAGGAAGCGCTGACGCCATCATCTCCCTTGTCATCTCTGACACATGGCGCATCGATGAGACCGTGGCGAAAGAAGACTCGCGGCAAGAAGCCTGGTGGCTTTGGAAGGGCAGCGTACCAGGAGAAGCTAATTGCTCGCTACGTTCCTCCCACCACCAGCTCAGCAGCTGTCCCAATTATCGAGCCACTTAACAGACCTAAATCTACAGCATCCTTTGAGATAGAGAGCTACAGTATCTCAGATGGAATCTCGGCAGTTAAAATGACAGTCCCTCCTGAGACGGGCACGGGGACGGATGGCCGTTCAATAGAGGTGGAGAAAGAAGTGTTGAGTAATCTAGCAGGAAACGCCTCCTCCTTGCAGCAAGGTCCAGAGAAAAGAGTGGTACGTTCCGTCAAAGTCATCGGTGACACCGATCATACAGTGTCCCTAAACTGGCGAGCACCAGCTGCCACCAATACAACATCCTTCAGTGTCCTGTATGCCGTTTTTGGTGAGAGAGACATGAGGCGCATCAACGTTGGGCCCGGCAAGAACCGGGTCACCATTGATGGACTGGTGCCCAAAACAAAGTACATTGCTTGCGTTTGCGTAAAGGGTCTCATTCCAAAGAAGGAGCAGTGCGTCATCTTCTCCACCGATGAGGCAGCCAGCGCCAGTGGGACTCAGAAGCTTATCAACGTGGTGGTCATCACTGTTGCTTGTGTCATTGCTGTGCCACTCACTCTTATTGTTTGCTGTGGGGCGCTGAAGAGGCGGCTCCAGAAGCTGCTGGGCCGCAAGTCCAAGGACATCCAGGACTCCTATGTGACCTTTGAGACTCTCTCACCGGGAACCAAAGCCAAAGGGTTGGAGGGGGAGTACCTCACTCGGCTCAACCAGGATGAGTCCAACCGCTTGCTCTCGGCACGCTCCAGCGTGGATTCAGAGGCCACAGCCAGGACTGAGGGACAGCCTAATGAGTACTTCTGTTAAGGCATGCTAGAGAATCAGTTCTTTCAAACAGTGGTTCTTGACTTCAAATCTGGGAACCCACTCTTCTTCCTGTATCCTATGCCCCAACACACCTGATTCCACTTATGAAGGGCTTCATAATTAGCCATCAAGCTGGATTAGATGCTGGGCAGGGAAGTGGGTCCCCAGGACTAGTGTTGAGAACCTCAGCTTTAGACCACTGGTTCTCAACCCTAGTCCTGGAGTACCCCATCCCTGCAAGTTTGGCATTTTCCCTGCTCTAACACAGCTCAGGAAGTGCTCATCAATTAGCTGATTATTTGGATCAGCAGTATCAGAGCATGGGAAACAACAAATTATACAGGGGTACTCCAGGAACAGGGCTGGGAACCACTGTTGTAAAGCCCAGGGCACACCAACCCAACCTTCTCCAACTAAAAAGACACTTTCTAAAGACTTCCACAAATAGGTACAGCATATCGACCAAATATTTGGGTTCACAAGAGTTAGTTGGAGAATGATGTATTGATGTGCTCAGGGGTTTAATGCATTATAAACACATTTGCTTTGAACCGATTGTGCTGCAAGAAGATGCAACCAACCACCAATAACCAGAGGGCCTCAGCCGAAATGAGAGATTCTTGAGAAAGCAGGCATTTCCGTGGGCATGAAACTGGGATTGGGTCATTTCTGCCTTGTTGGAGATGAACCTCTGCTCTAGGGCAGTTTGGAGGTGCCTATGAATGGGCTAAGACATGTGTTAATGAAGCAATTCCACATCTCTTCACAGCCTTGAAAGTATGAACCATATTCATGATGGTGCGCTGTTCAAAAAAAAGGGAAAACATTTTATCACTGTAAACTGTGCAATGTTTAAAAGAATTCTGAATTAAGCTTTTTTCTTTTTTTTTACTTGTGATGCACTTTTTTGCATATTCCTGCAGATGAATGTCTTCACTGTGACATTTCAATTAGAAGATTTGTCGCATACAAACATTTTCATGGAGGGAAGGAATTTTAAAGGACTAGAATCGCTGCAGTCGACGTCTTCGTACAGCAAACAACTTCTACAAGACTGCAAATATGAAAGTTTACAATATGTGGTTGACGTGGCTCTCTGAACCATGCAGAGGGCAGCAGTGACGCTGTTTCTGCAGTTGCTGATTGGAGTTTGAAGGGAATAAGAGGGAAAAGAAACAAAAAGAAAAGAAAACTTCCCTCGTTTCCTAGTATGTACCATTTTCTTTTGACAATGTTTGTGCAAAAATACTAGAGCAGTAGTCATAGACATGGATTAAGAGAGAATAATTATATCTCTTTTCTTCTTTTTTTATATATCTGTATTTACCATGTCAGTTTATGTGCTGGGTTTACCACGTCCTGATTCAAACCTGAAACTGTGAATATATAAAGTTGTTAAATGTACTTATTTCTGAAACTTACATGTTTTAAATGTATGAATGAATAAATATTTTTATATAAATGTGTAAGAAAGCTACATTCCTGATTTTTTTTCCTGCAAATCCACTATTTCCTGAATGCAAACTCTTTTAGTGTTTAAACATGTATATATATATATATATATATAATATATATATATATATATATATATATATATATATATATATATATATATTAATGGTAAAAGTGTTTTTAAGAGTGCATGTCCTATGGGTTCCATTCCCCTGCGGTCCACTTATGGCATTATTGTAGTCATAATTCATCTTTTCATGACTATTTCTATTACTTTCTTTAAGACTTACATATCGCTGTTTCTTTTGGTCCATTCATCATGAAATTTACACACAATGTAAAGGGCAACAGATATTTTCAAATTATGACAAAAACTGAAAAACGACAAAAATGGAGATACGAGGTTTTCTTCTGACAGCAGCGACATGTAAATGGGCTCTATTCTGATTGACTGTCCTGCATTATGTTGCATTCAAAAAGCAGTCCAGACTGAAACACTCCTTATAACTTCTGTGTAAACAGGCGGAGCTAAACTGCTGTAGGCATAATTGGTGGAAATGTGTAAATGTGTTGTGACATCACACAAACTGTGCCTTCAAAATGGGCTGAATTTACAGTTTGCAGGAACTATATGCTTTGAAACTTGTTTACATACTGCATCATTTGTTTTCCCCCCACATAAAAGTAAGAAAAATTGTTTTTCTATGATATTGGCCTGTAAACAGAAGGCTGCTTCATCTCTAAAGGCAGATGTAAGAGTTTACGATGGTGATATTTTTCTTAAATATTTCAAACACCAGTGGTCTTTATGGTAGCATTGTGTGCTATATCTCTATCTCAGTCTCTATTTTTTGCGGGTGAAGTTGTGTCATAGCTTAAGCCGCTTGGCATTCCCTTCATGGTGTTGAGTTTTGGAAAAAGCACAATGGCTTGTACCTGTTTACAATTAGCTGTGTTATTAAAAGCTTGGTCAGATCTAAAAGTGACCAGCGAGGCCTTGCTGGCTGCACAAGGGGAGATTAAGGATAATAAGCTTTACTTTACTGAACCACTGAACTGCGTGTACACAGGAGGCCCCACCTTGACAGCCACGCCACACTGAGAATGACTCAACACTTGCGTTTCTATTCCAGATATAAGTATTATTGAAAGAGAGTCTTCAGTGTTTTGAGTTCTTGCCCTTGTGTAGTGTTAGCTTTCATGCAGCACACAGTCTGAGACAGTCTTCACTACTTTAAACACTAAAAACCTGCTAACACAACACTGTTAATGAAGTCTGGCGAGAACCTCGTTCAGTCAAAATGCAAATAACTAGCACTGTGGCTAATAGCAGCTCCACTCAAGTTAGGCTAATTCAAGAAATGCGACAAGACGCAAACTAAGACGCAGTATTTCTTTATCTCGCGCTCTAAGCTGTCAGCCGTGAGGGTTTTGGCTAATATTGACTGACATATTAGTGGTAATTGAATGGGAGTTAAGCTAAGCTGGCCCTCTGTGTGAAGTGTGGTGATGTCAGGCCTGACGCTAATCTGAAGCTGAAATAGATCTCTATCTGTCTGGCGCTGCTTAGCCTTGATTCGCATGCGGACATATCACTGGGCAGATAGCGACACTGCGGAAGTCAGACACAGATTAATCAATATAATCAAAAAGAAATGATGCAGCAGGATTTTCTGAATTACCTCTTTGTGGCTGGTGTGTCTCTAGAAATTGCTGACTGACGATACAAGGGGAGCCACTTGCCTCCGCCACAACCCTGCTGAGAAAATCAGCAAAGACCAGCATGCATTCCGTGCTGCACTAAGCTGGTCTACGCTAGTCTATGCTGGTATAGCGCTGGTCTGGTGCTGGTTTAGCTGGTCACCCAGCATGGTCTTGCTGGTTGACTAGCATACCAGTATCCAAAACACAACACACACTAGTTTTGCTGTTGATGAGGCCTGCTGTGCTGGCTATGCTGGCTTTTCTCAGGGTAGCACACCATCTGAGTGTGTTTTCAGCGGACATAGAAAAAAGGAGCCATAAATGCAGTCAGGTTGCTCCCTATCCTGGTAGTCAGAGGAACCTGTTAATCAGCATCTATGGCCCCGGTTATGTGTACTCACACCATCAAAATCAGGTTGTTGCATTACTTTATCAGTTTAACATGTATGACAACAGGTAAGAAAAAAAAGATGACATATCAGGACTGATTCAGGACATGGACTAACATTACACATCAAAAGAAAACTAGACTGCGAGACTCTCTGGTGGCTCCACAGCAGATTTAGATTTTTGGCAATAATAAATAATAAAATAATCCTCCCTTGCAGTAAAGTAATGCTTTGCTGACACACACTTGTAACACACAGCTCTAACACAGTTTTAACAATAAATGGTCTTAAACGCTGGAATAAGTGTGCAACTCTCACACAGCAACGCAGACAACAATCTCGCCTAGATAGTAGCTAACAAAACAGCAAAGAAAAGAAAGATTTGGGTCATTCTACAGAAACATCCATTTTTGTGTCCCTAGTGTTTACAGATATATTACACTGTTAGGGTCACAATGTATTTATATTTTAATATAAAACAATAAGTTATTTTAACGATTGCACCTTCTTGAGCCTCAATTTAGCAATATTGGTTTTGAAATCAATTATCTAGAATTCCAGGCACCACAGAGGAGCTCGTCCACACAGCCATGAGTAAAGGCTGAGGCCATGTTTTAAAGAAAAAAAAACAAACAAACACATTTTTCTGCAATTTTAACTACAATAATCTATACATGACTATGGAATATATTAATTAAATGACATAAAGAAAATAAATGCCAAATAAATATTATAAAATATATAATGAAAGTTGGTCCCCAGGAGTCGTGTCACTGGTGTTACTGTGTAACAAAAATCTCCTATTTTGAAATAAAAGTCACACTGATGACATCACTCGACTTCCTTTTACCTGTTTTCTGAGGATCTATGAAGAAAAGCACATGGTGAGTCCACTGTGTCTCTCAGTTATCAGAGATTTTCTCATTTAGCTCATGATTTCATATGAAGCTTTTAGCTGAAGTCACTGGTATGACCGACTTTATTCTGAAGTAATTGTGAAAAAATAGAATACAAATGGATTAAATTACATATTTTAGTGGATATTCCATGATTGACAACATGTGGTTTGATGCTCTGTAGCGGTTATTTTGTAAAATGCATTGTTCATCAAAAATGTCTCTGGTGTTCCTTTATTATGTGTAACATGTGTAACTTTTCTTTCTTAGGATTGGTAACACCAGTGACACCTATGGATAGATAGAAAAGTGGATGTTTTTGTGACCCTTAAATGACCCATTTAAGAGATGAATAGACAGACTTATTTGCGTTTATAATCACCCCAGCTGGTTTCCTGATATGTTTAATCCGCAATGAGAAACACACAGAAAAGCTGCGAGGCTGAAGTCAGTTTCTCATTTGCCAGCCTCTTGTTCATATTTTCCCATTCCACCTTAAATGGTGGAGCAGACATTCAAGTTCCTAAGCCACTATTTAAGGTGGAACGGGAAAAACACCTAACAAAAAGTAAGAGCCTGTGTAAAAATACGAATATGATGTTTTGTGAATTCAGAGTCTTTAAAGAGAGCATTGTGATTTATCTAAGAATCAATTACTTTTCCCAGCACTGTTGTTTTTTTGTTTGTTGTTTACAGTTGTTTTATCTAATGAAATTATCTTACTCTATGGGCACATAATTTTGTTTATTTCAAGCATTATTTATTAAAATAAGCAAAAACGATCTGCACTCTGTCTTTAAACAAGCAAAATTATGAATCTGCAGATACAATTATTTAAAACAAGTAAAAACATTCAGAAATAAGTTAAATAACCTTATTGCATTACAACCTCATTTCCAAAAAAGTTGGGACTCTGTGCAAAATAAAATAAAATGAAAATGCAATGATCATTTAAACCCTATATTTCATTGAAAATAGTACAAAGACAACATATCAAAAGTTGAAACTGAGAAATTTTATTGTTTTTTGAAAAATATTTGCCCATTTTGAATTTGGTGCCAACAACACATTCCAAAAAAGTTGAGGCGGGAGCAACAAAAGGCTGGTATAGTTGTATAATGCTAAAAAAACACCTGGTGGTTAATTAGCAACAGGTCAGTAACATGACTGGGTATAAGCAAGCATCCCAGAGTGGCGGAGTCTTTCAGAAGTAAAGATGAGGAGGGGTTCACCACTCTGTGAAAGACTGCACAACCAAATAGTGCAACAATTCAAGAATAACGTTTCTCAACATAAAATGGCAAAGAACTTTTGCTTTTCATCATCTATGGTACATAATATCATTAAAAGATTAAGAGAATCTGGAGAAATCTCTGTATGTAAGGGACAAGCACAAAAAACAGTATTTGCTGGCCGTGATCTTTGGGCCTTCAGATGGCACTGCATTAAAAACCGACATGATTCTGTAGTGGAAATCACTGCATGGGTTCATAAACACTTCTGGAAACCACTGTCGTTGAAAACAGTTCATCACTGCATCCACAAATGCAAGTTAAAACTCTAAAATGCAAAGAGGAAACCAAATATAAACAGGATCCAGAAGCGCTGCCACCTTCTCTGGGCCCGAGCTCATTCAAATGGACTGAGGTGAAGTGGAAAAGTGTCCTGTGGTCCGACAAATCAAAATTTGAATTTTTTTTGGGAAATCATGGACACTGTGTCCTCTGTGCTAAAGACCACTCAGCTTGTTATCAGCATACAGTTCAAAAGCCAGTATTCATGATGGTATAGGGGGGCATTAGTGCGCATGGCATAGGTGATGTGCACATCTGTGAAGGCACCATTAATGCTGAATGATATATACATGTTTTGGAAACATATGCTGCCATCCAGACGACGTCTTTTTCAGGGAAGGCCTTGATTATTTCAGCAAGACGGTGTCAAACCCACGTTCTGCACGTATTACAGCAGCATTGCTCTGTATTAAAAGAGTCCGGGTGCTAAACTGACCTGCCTGCAGTCCAGACCTGTCACCCACTAAAAATATTTCGTGCTTTATGACATGAAAAATACAACAAAGGAGACTCTGAACTCCTGAGCAGCTGAAATCCTGTATCAAACAAGAATGGGAAATATTTCACTTTCAAAACTACAGCAGTGTTTGTAGTATTTTCCTTTAAAAATATGGTTTACATGATTTGCATATCATGCATCCTATTTTTATTTACATTCTGCACAGCGTCCCAACTTTTTTGGAAATGGGGTTACATATTATATTGAAATATGAGATATATTGACTAGAATTAAGGTGTTTTCACTTGTCAGTGTATCACTTTTAACAGCGCAGTTTGTATCTTTCATGCTGGTTCAAGTATTAGTATTAATTTAATTAGATATTAATTTAATATTAGAATCAAATATACAATGGTTTGCAAATATTTGCTGTTATTCAAAATGGGTTGCATGATTCCTAAATGTAAACTTTGTGAATCAACATAGTACTATCAGTGTCATTATTCATTAAAGCTCCTTCTCAAGTGTGTTCTTTCCTTTTTTTTCTAGCTCTTGCTTCAGGAGTTGCGTCAGGCTGGATTAAGTACAATGAGCTTAACGCCACCAAGCTCAGTGACATGTCCTGCAAAATAGCCCGCTCTCCATGCCTTCCTCAAAAACCACAATGGCCACGTTTTGCTTTCTAGCCGCACTGTTAGTATTCAGTCATTTTCATTTTGCCTTCTGTTTCTGCGTGACGGGATGCTCCTGTACGGAGGACAGCTTTGGGAGGTAAGTTGGCTGGGAATCTAGCAAATGGCTGGTAAAGACTGAAGGCAGCATCATGTCAGTGGGTTAGAGGGTCTGTGTTTACTGAAGGAGGATCTGCAGGTAATCTGAACGACGCTCTCTGTTCATTGACAAAAATGGGCCGAGAAAATTGGTACAAAATAATTTGGTCTACTCTTATCTGAAGTAATCATGAAATAATGAGAATATGTTTTAAATATTTTGCCAATATTTATGCCATGAACATTTCATTCGCATCTAGCAAGACTTAAAGATGGTCTGTGTTTATCTGAGCTGCTATAATATATAAAGCTGAGAAAAGATTTTTAGTTTACGTTTATAAAATATCTGAAAGACATGAATAAATATACATATGTAGGGGTGCACTGGTAATAGGAATTGTGGGGCGATGCCGACACCAATGTGAAACCTTTACCTGTCAAGCCTTTATTAAATTAAGAAATTGAGATTAGATAGAAAGAGAACTATAACATTCATTTTAGTGCAGTAAACCAGAGACACCTAAACAATCTTGTTTTGCTGGAATAAATACAGACGTTGTGTTGATTTTCAAAGTGAAAATAAGTCAGCACATCATCTACAGGGAACAACCTTAAACAGGACATTGTCTACAAATTTTAGTCCACAGTTTTTATTTATTTGTTTATTTTAACATACTGAAAAACCCATGAAATATAACTTTTGCAGAGGCTATGTTTTTTTTTCTCATAAATTCTGCAAGTAAACTGTAACTGTGAGTTAAAATGTGTTGAACTCTGTTCTATGTACACTGTTAGAAATAAAGGTTCTGTTCAGGTACATTTTTTCTTCATCAAGGTACAAACAATGTAAATGTTCCCTCAAAGGTACAACAGTGGTTTTAAGGTCTGATTGTGAACCTTAAATAAGTTTTTCCAGGTGAAAAAGTTCGTATTTGTACCTTTTCATAACTGAATGTTTTAAAACAGAACAGTAAAATAAAAGCCTGGAGACGAGACGAGGGTGTGTGGAGTCAGTACAGCTTAGAACATATCATTTCAGTGGATTATGGTTCAGTTATGTTCCCTGACTAGAGGTACTGAGATGGACCCTTGAGGGTCCCACCCCAGTGACAAGAGGGCCACTGCCCCAGTGACAGTTATCTGAGAGTGTAGAGGGTGTGTTAATTTATTTTCACTTAGAAAATCAACAAAACATGTCATTTGACTAAGAGCGCCCAAATCTGTCAGAAATATTGGACAAATCCAAACCTCCAGTCATTTTTTGAAGCAATTCTCTGCTGATACCTACATGACTCTGTTATCATCCTGCGCCCCTTTATATGTTGTCAGTATTAAAAATGTTCACATTATCTGGTGACATTCCTTAATTCTAGGGAAAAGCAGCTGTATTTTCTCATTTCCTGTCCAGGTCTTTATCGTGTATGGAAACTGCTTTGGGATCGATACCTCAGAACATCCCTGGAGATTTCATAAAAATCAGGATTGAGAACTCTCACCTAACTGAAATACCCCAAAGGGCTTTCTCCACAGTCAGTGCCTTGGAATCACTATGGCTGAACTTTAATGACATCACCCTGATGAACATTAAGAGCCTTGAGGGCCTGCAAAACCTGACAGAACTGCGACTGCAAGGCAACAAGTTGAGATCGATACCATGGACGGCTTTCCAGGACACACCCAACCTTAAAATCCTGGACCTGAAGCACAACCGGCTAGACGTGCTGCCGGAATACGCCCTGCGCCACCTGCCTGCGCTGACCTACTTAGACTTATCCTTCAATCAGCTTACGGTCATTTCCCGAGATGTCTTTCTCAACTGGCCGCGCTACCGCCCACAGACGCATGGCAGGAGGGAAGACAATGCGGCTAACGTTGTGCTAGCACTGCACGACAACCACTGGCTCTGCGACTGCCGCCTCAAAGGCTTCGTTGAATTCGTCAGATCGGTCAGTCCACCCATCATTTTGATGAACTCTTATCTGACTTGTTCAGGCCCGGATTTCAGAGCAGGGAAGTTTTTTCACGAGCTGGAGCTGAAGAACTGCTTGAAGCCAGAAACGTCCACTCTAGAAGCTAACGTCACGCTTTCGCTGGGAGCGAACACGACGTTGAGGTGCTTCGTGAAAGCAAGGCCCGATCCAGTGGTGCAATGGAGCTACAGTCTAAAGACCATCAGAGGATTTACAGGTAAAGCCACCCGGCCCTGGTTTCTACCACGGCTCAAGTGCCATCGTACTGACACACTTTGCTGCAGAAAACACAATGAGCTTAAAGACAGTAAGCATGTCTGTGGCCCACCTTCACACACGGATTATCGAGAAACATCAGAATGAAACTGGGTCAAAAAAGCACTTACACTGCTACACAAGAGTACTGGCTTTGTTCTGAATTTAGCGAGCGACTTATTTCAGAGCGTCCAAATTACATCTATAGTTTTCCAAAACATTTTTTGTCTGGAAATCTATATTGCAATATATTACAGTCCCAAACAAACTGAAAATAATCCTGCTGTCCCAGTTAAATACAAAATATGCTTACTAGGGATGCACCGATGTGGGAATTGTTGGCTGATGCCAATACATGATATTTTCCATGTATTTATCTGCCACTGCAGATCCATAAATATCTATAAATAACAGAAATTAGGACTAGATGCAGCATTTATTTATGAGATTATACAAGCTATGTGACTGACTGTATAATGTACCTTATAGTAGCTGAATTAACTAATCAGGAGGGCTGTCTGGTTACTTTTGGGCATGTAGTGTATGTTGGCTTTCTGGAAAGGAAGTCTGCAGTAGGTTTTTTTCTGTTTAAACCCTCATTATTCCACTGTTACTTGCTAATTACGCCGCCAGTTGATCTAAGGTGTCTTCTGTCCAGCTCCTGAAGGCCTAATGAATAGAAGCACTTGCTTGTCTGTATCTACCTAGATACCATGAAAAGAGAAATCCTAATTGGACAATTTTTCTTTAGGTAATTCAAGATTTTAGCCCTTTTGTTTCCAACTAAAGCTTAACAATGGAATAAGAGTATTAACACAGAGGTTAAACACAACAAGCATGATGATTCTATTAAATAAAATGAATAAAAATAAGAATTCCTTAGCTATATCGTTCGGTAGCAATTGCGATTGAGCGCCTGTGTTTCTGGAAAAATTCATTTTGCTGACAGAAAAATTTGTTGACAGAAAATGTTCCACTGGCGCTGTGGTTAGCTAACACTGACATTGGTGGTTCCACTGCTGGAATTTTCCATCACCACACCTTAAGAAAACATGGAATATCTGGATTTCGGTTGTTTGTCTACTGTCGTATTCGTATAGTGCAGCTGCAGCCTCGCTTGGTGTACTGGCAATTTTTTTCAAACTCATTTTTTTTCTGATGGCTCTGTTTTCCTGTCTCTGCTTTTGCTTACAGTCTCTCAGTCGCAGGTGGGCGAAGACACCATCAGCTCTGCCCTGATAATCCCCTCGGTTCACCTGGCTGACCGAGGTCTCTACACCTGCACCGCCAACAACTTTATCGGCAACTCATCCGTGGGCATCCAGCTCAACGTCCTGTCCGGCGACACCTCCTTCCCCATGTCCCCCGCCTTCCCGCTGGCCTCTGCTGATGAGAACGTCTACATCGACATCCGAATCGCCAAGCAGACCGTGTACGGCATCACCATAGAGTGGTACGCAGCGACGGAGAATCCTGCAGAAACCTGGTTCACGGTCCACTTTGGGCGCTACGATTCGCCAAAGAAAGAGATGCTCTACGTCGGCCCAGGAATCAACAGCTACTCTGTGAACGACTTGCTACCGGTGACCAAGTACGAAGTGTGCGTGTCTCTGAAGAACCAGCCACCTCGGCAAGAGCAGTGTATCGTGTTTGTGACCGGAAGTGGCACAAATGAACTGGAACAGCGCGAGAGACTCATTCACATCATCGTGATCGTTTGCGCCATGGTGCTGGCTGTCCCTGCAGGAATGTACGCCTGCACCACGGACACCAGGCTCGGCTGCTTCGACCGCTGCACAGAGCTCTGCAAGAGACGGAAGAGGGAAGCCAAAGGCCTAAAGCTGGGCGACAGGCAGGGAACCTTCGACAGTCTGCAGGCGGCCAGCGACGAAGGACTCTGCAGAGATTCTGGCGAAGAGATGAAAGCGAGGAGGCGGTCCGAAGACAAAATACAGAAGGGCAACAGCGCCCAGCTGTACTAACCAGTTGTCTAATCGACACGGACGATGCTTTGTTTTTATATTTTCAGTTTTTTGGATAGTCCTCTACACGGCAAAAAAGAGTCATTTGTCAAGTAAATTTATCTTATAGCCAATAAATCTAATATTTCTCCTGTTGAGATTGAAGTGTAATTTAAGACTATTTACCTTATTTTTTACTTGTTCTAAGCAATTTTATATGGTAAAATTATCTCACTGTATTGGCAGATGATTTTGCTTGTTTTATGAAATGGGCTTGAAACCAGCAAAATTATCTGCCAGTACAGTGAGATAATTTTACTAAATAAAGCAAGTAAATAATGTCCAGAAATAAGATAGATAATCTTATAATAAGTTCACAACCATCCCAAAATGGGAAATCTTAGACATGTCGACTAGATTTAAGGTCATTTCACTTGATAAGACACCATTTTTTGCAATGTATAAGATGATTTACAGATGCTCAATTTTTTTTTACGTTATTAACTGGTTATTCTCAACAGTGTTAGGATTAGGATTAGGACCTGGTTTAGTGTTATAGTCAGTGAGTGTTATATTTAGGACAGGGTGTAACAAGCAAATTAAGGCAGGATGTAAATACAAAGTGCAAGTGCACTTTACTTGAGAAAAATCTGAGAATTATAATTGTTCCCAAAAATTAAGAAATTGTGAAAAATACGTGGAATTCCCCTTTTAAGTGACACTAAAAGGTGTTTACATGTAATCTAAGGACAAGTTAAGAATTTGCAAACTGTCTACAGTGGACCATCCGAATAAAGTGTTACTGCAGTCTGTGTGCAGGACAGGGGACCAGAAACCGCTGGTTTAGGCTGAGAGAAAGTACATATTTCACCAATTTTTCAAATTTCTATAGCTGATCTGACATGTAGACAAACTCCTTCAGAGTGGTTGGATACGAAGTGATTCATTATAGAGGGACTCTTAACAATGGTAGTGATAGAATCCAAAGATTGCAATGTCTACAATGTAAATATAGCCATTTTATTTACTATCAAAAATGACCAGTCAGTCTGACTTTCATATGTAATGGTGATCATAGTAAAACAGTACAAAATCTGAAAAATTTGCGTTTTTGCCTTACAATGCCCTGCATGTACCCCTCCTGCGGGAATGCATTTAAATCGCTGTTGTCAGAAAAAAAACTCGTATCTCCAAAATGAAAACTTTACAGGAGAAGGAAAAAACCTTCTTTACTTTTAATGCAAGTCAATGGAACCAGACTTTGTTCCATGTCATTTTGGGTAATTTCTTTTAGTTCATTCATCATGAAATTTACATATGATGTAAAGGACAACAGGCATTTTCAAATTATGTCAAAAACTGAAAAACGTCCAAAATGGAGATACGAGGTTTTCTTCGGACAACAGCGAAATGTAGTTATATTATATCTAACGTTTTGGGGGGAGGAACATGCCTAAAACCCCTCCTTCTTCCAATCGAGTGCCCTATAAATTCACATCCTCACCTTCCGTTCCTGTAATGAAGGGTTCGCAATCCCCACCGCCCCCCATCTCCTCCCTGTTCCTCAGTCCTGTATCAGTCCTACTACAGCTATAAGGGGGGCAGAAGCTGCCCAGAACTACAGCCCAAGTTCTCAGAGTTCTCCCCCCTCCCTCAATCAATCTTCCCTCATACTACCACCACCATGTTGAAGGCATGGTCTGAACTCACAAAATAACTATGTTTTAGTCCAGCATAAAACAGTGTCTCAGGCATCAGGCAGCATATTCATAACCCTTTCATGTAATACCTGCCTGTGATGTATCTTTTAGAGGCATAAAATGTTTCAAATAAGTTTCTCTAGAACAGAGCATTTCACATCAAACCACTCTGAAGGACTTTGTTTACACCTTAACCACTGAATTATGTAGAAATGTAAGCTTTCAGGTGGTTTATTGACAAGGTAAGCATGTGTAAACTATGTACAGTGGAACATCCAAATAAAGTGCTACTGCAGTCGTGTTGCTGAACGCACTTCGTCTTTTGTGACAGTGAAGCTTTATAGGTGTGAAACTTGATCGTTTTAAGATTAAACAACCTATTTTTTTTCCAAAGTCAGTGGAGGAATATTTATAATAAATTACACACCTGTATTGCACTGTTTGGTTTTACAGTCTGTATAAATGTTTGAACTAAATGTACAATAAATTTGATACGTCATTAGGAAAGGGTGATATTTTTTATTGTCCTTCTATCAACAAGAGGAAGCCTAACTTATTAAGATTCACTGATCAGGCATCACATTATGACCACCTCCTTGTTTCTATGCTCATTGTCCATTTTATCAGCTCCACTTACTATATAGGTGCACTTTGTAGTTCTACAGTTACAGACTGTAGTCCATCTGTTTCTCTGCATGCTTTGTTAGCCCCCTTTTACCCTGTTCGTCAGTGGTCAGGACCCCCATGGACCCTCACAGAGCAGGTACTATTTGGGTGGTGGATCATTCTCAGCACCGCAGTAACACTGACGTGGTGGTGGTGTGTTAGTGTGTGTTGTGCTGGTCTGAGTGGATCAGACACAGCAGTGCTGCTGGAGTTTTTAAACACCTCAGTGTCACTGCTGGACTGAGAATAGTCCACCAACCAAAAATATCCAGCCAACAGCGTCCTGTGGGCAGCGTCCTGTGACCACTGATGAAGGACTAGAGGATGACCAACACAAACTGTGCAGCAGCAGATGAGCTATCGTCTCTGACTTTACATCTACAAGGTGGACTGACAAGGTAGGAGTGTCTAATAGAGTGGACAGTGAGTGGACACAGTGTTTAAAAACTCCTACTAACACACTAACACACCACCACCACATCAGTGTTACTGCAGTGCTGAGAATGATCCACCATCCAAATAGTACCTGCTCTGTGAGGGTCCGTGAGCATAGAAACAAGGAGGTGGTCATAATGTTATGCCTGATCAGTGTATGTTTGAGGTAGAGGTAGTCAGTCTAGCTTCTTGCCAGATGACTAATTAGGCCAAATTCCTTTATAACTTTCATTTTTGCAGGACAGTCCAGCTCACACCCTAGTAACTACTTAGTAAGTAGGGCAAAATCAGCCTGCAGTGCACTTTTAGCTTTAACTTTGACTCTCTGTCATATCATCACATCAAAAGCTGATTATTCAGGTGAGAGGTGAGAGGTGGGGGTCACAGGTCACATTGTGAGAGTGTGGTTATAATTACAGGTGATGGTGGGAGAATGAGGTTAAGACAGAATCAACAACGAAAGCTTAGGGAAAAAATTGACTCAAAGGATTATTTGCTTCTATTGTTTTCCATGAATGGACAAGACCTTTTGTCCTTTTCCAGGCAGCATGTTCCTCCTAGTGTTCTCAATCAGTTATAACCCTTTCTTCAAACATCTGAGTGAGGCGTCAAGATGTCCTGCATGAAATGTCAAGACAGCACATTGACATTAAACTTCACACAATATGCAGTGGTACATTTATATATGTAAAAGGCCTGTATGACAGTCGAGATGCTGCAGTATGACCTGCTTGTGACTGCAAGACTGTATGAAGCTTAAAGGGACACTGTGGTCAAAATGAAAACATAACCATTGCTAGGTATGTTGTAAATATGCTTTCTTTCAGTAGTACAGTAGTGCCACAGTAGTCTCCAGTGAGGTTTTACAGTTTAAAAGACTAGGAAAACCTCCTTCTGATGATGTACGCTATATGGCCATATGTATGTGGACACCTGACCATCACACCTATATAGATTGTTAGACATCCCATTCCAAAATCCTAGGCATTAATATTGGCTCTACTCTGCGGCTATAGCAGAATCCGCTCTTCTGTGAAGTGTTCCACGGGATTTTAGAGTGCGTCTGTGGGAATTTGTACTCATTTAGTCAAAAGAGCATTTGTGAGGTCAGACACTGATGTTGGATGAGAGGGCCTGGCTCACAGTCAACATTCCAGTTCGTCCCAAAGGTGTTCAGTGGGGTTGAGGTCAGGGCTCTGTGCAGGCCTCTGGAGTTCCTCCACACCAAACCTGCCAAATCATGCCTTTATGGAGCCCACTTTGTGCACAGGGGCTCAGTCTTGCTGGGGCAGGAAAGGCTCTTCCCCAAACTGCTGGCACAAAGCTGGAAGCATATGATTGTTGAAAATTTATTTGTGTGCTACCCTTCACTGGAACTAAGGGGCCCAAACCCTGATAAAGAGCTCCAGCTCATTATCCCTCCTCCACCAAACTTTACTGTTCGCACTATGCAGTCCAGTAGGTAACGTTCTCCTGGCAACTACCAAACCCAGAACTGTCCATCAGACTGCTAGATAGTGAATTGTGATCCATGACTCCAGAGAACACATTTCCACTGCTCCAGAGTCCAGTGGTGGCATTAGAGGTGGGTGGAAAATCAATTCTTAGATGCATTGCGATGCGGACATGGACGATTCTGAATCGATTCACAAATGTCAAAAAACGATTTTCTAAATATTTAATTTATAACGTAATGTTGACGGAACGCAAAAGGAGGAACTTGGAAGTGCAGAAGTGCAGCGCCCGGACAGTCTGTAACGGCACATAACAAAGACAACTGGATGAGCGAGAAATCCGACCGGCTCCCTCTGCATGATATTTTACTGACACAGCGACCCCCCCCACTCTCTACAACCAGACCAAAACTGAAGTTACAAAATCAAAAAATATAAAAGGAAACAGGCAGGACGGCTGTAACGTGCTGCACGGACACCCACTGCCACTGGATCTTATTTCACCGTAACAGCGCATTTTATCACAGATGAGTGGCAGCAGCGTCTCATGTGCTCCAAACAAGAGCGGTGAATGAGAGCCTTCTAGTTCACTTGCCACATCACTTCCATTTGTTTTATTAATAAAAGATACTGGGTGTAAATGCATTATGGATCATTACAAATACTTTCCTTTAAAAGTTCCAAGTCCTCACACAGTGAGAAAAAAGAAATCCTGTATAGAAAAAAAAAGATGCATCGAGATGCATCGATAATCGTTTTATAATCGCATCGCAGCCTCTGAATCGTAATCGAATCGAACCGTGAGGTGCCTAGAGATTCCCACCCCTAGGTGGCATGCTTTACACCACTCAAGCCAATGCTTGGCATTGCATAGAGTGATCTTATGCAACTTACAACTGCTTCGGGTTTGATTTTTGTGTGCAAAATCTTTCTTTTTTTTTCGTTAGCTGTTAAAAACAGAAGGAAGGCAGAAAGCTAACGTTGCTGCTAGGACACCAAATATAGTATTGCAGCTGCACTGTCAAATTATTATTACAATAGTAGGAATGCATTACTCAAATGACAAATATCTCATCAGATAAGGAGGACAGCAAGCTATACGCTAAAGACACCTTACCTCACCTATAGACACGTTACCTCAGTATGGCTCAATATATCTGGCTGACAGAGGAAAAAAACTTGTCTCTAGAGTCCATTTTGTGCTGAATAAAGATAGAATCACTGTTTTCTTTGTGATTTATAAATTTATTTTATTACCCTATAGATCAGTGGCTGGACTAGCAGGTAGTTGACACCGCAGGGATTCCCAAAAGTCGTATGATGCATTTGCGTAATGCATGCTGGGTATTGTAGTAAATAACTCACGAATTCTGTCAAACCAATGAAACGGAGGGACTCAGCGTTGCACTAGGGAATATGGCACATGACAAATAGCATAGTAAAATCTAGTTGTAGGCTGAAATGCCTCTTTAAATTGCACCAAACGGAATAAACAAGTACTTGAAACAGTCACTTTATCAGTGATTTGTACATATTTATTCAAAATAATACAAAGACAATAAAAAGACACAAGATAGTCAAATATACTGAACAGTCAATTTCTGAGGAACGTCGCATTGAACGTGGAACAATTTGAATCATTTAAGAAAAATGCTACGTTAGGCAGTGTTAAGTAAATTTACCATGCAAAAAACATACTTCATTACAACAAACTGTTTTCACAATAAACAGGAATTTATAACCCCCATAAAAACACTTTGATATCTGTATTACTCCAATAAGCTGCTTCCTCATGTATTCTTTTAAAATGTCAGTGAATTTCCAGAACTATTTTGATAAAACATTAGTGTTTTTGTAAATCTGCTTCCACAGGATGTCTTAAAACTGGACCTGGGAGATACAGTATTCTGAGCATGTGTCCAGTTTAGATTTCTGCAAAACCTTATCTAATTTGGAATAAGCTACATAGATACTGAAGCAGCTGAAGGTGAAAGCTCATCCTCCAATGCTGCTATCAGACATGCAAAACCAAAGACGTGACTCAATGCAAAGCTGCTGCTGCTGCACAAGTAAAAAAAAGTCTGATAAACACAAAAGAGATTAATTCATAGAAGAGGCTCGCGTTGAACACGATACTGGAAGCATATCATAAAGACAGGTTTAGCTGCGGAAGAAGAAGTGAGTGAACATCTAATATTAAAGGGGCTGACACCGTTCAACTGTGGTTCCATCCACTGCACAGCATCAGTCAAAAGTCTGGACACACTATCTTTAAGAAATAAAGCATCTGTACCAACCTATTTACTTATTTACTATAAATGCTGAAGTTATAAGGTGGGCTGCTTTTTAAACAAGGCATAATAAGGGCAGCCAATTTGGAGGACAGGTCATTTACATATATCCATTTTAAAGGTGCAGTAACAAAAAACAGCCTGTTTAATTGAAAGGGCATAAAGAAAGGCTGGAAAATGTCTCGTAATAATGAATTGTATTATAAATGGGGGGTAAAAATACATACAAATGTCGAATGTAAGTAACTTATTTCTAGATGTTTTTTTATTTGTTTTAAGTAATTTCAGCAATCTAGTCAAAGTGTCTTATTTCAATGGCAAATAACTATATTTCAGGAAAGAATGCACAAATAATGCTTAAAATAAGAAAACTGATCTACCAATAGAGTAAGATCTTATATTAATCTTGTAATATCCTTACAACAATCTCAAAATTAGTCATATTACATATGGTATTTAAGCCATTTTCATGTACCAAGATGCATTTTTAGCACAGTCCAAAGTAGCTAATTAGAGTACAGAGCAAAAATGAGCATCTAACATATGCTGTTCATATAACACCGATATATTACTGAGCGAAATCTGTCATAATTCTTGACAGCATATAATGTCAGGTATAATGTTAACAGTGTTCATTTTGGAAATAAACACATACATATGCATCAAGTTTACTATTTACATTTGTCTTAGAAATAGATTTCGAGCTAAGCCTTAACAAAATGTCCTTAAGAATATAACACCTAATCAAGCCACCTAATCATGTCCAAAATTTTGACTGCTACTGTCTATGTGGACTTAAAGGTGATTTCCACAGAATATAATACTGCTGAATAATTCAGAGGTTGAGATGTAAACACAGTCAGTCAGAGTGGTGAGATTTAAACTATGGAGACTCTCATTTCCTACTCTCACAGTGGTGGTGAATGGAACCAGGGGTCACAATAACGACAAATACCTCCATTTTATTTACCATCCAAAACCCACCAGTGAACCGACACGTGTCTGAGTGATATATGATGTTGTTAATGATAAAACAGTGATAAATCTGAAGTAATACGTTTTCTTGGGAGACAATTTTGCCTTGCCTTGCAACACCGTGATCGTCCAAAACGATCATAAAACCAGCATATTCATAACCATATCATGTACTAACTTTCTGCGAGGGAGCTTTTAGAGGTATTAAACTCTTCAGACGTCTGGTTCCTATCACCACCACCACTGTGAACAGTTCTGATTCTAAGTTTCTCTAGAACAGAGCATTTCACATCAAACTACTCTGAATTACTTTACATCTTAACCATTCAATTATGCTGAAATTCTGAAAAATTGGTGGAATTCCTCTTTATTGTATCTGCTACAGTGTTTGTTGATTAGTTAATACTGGAAGAACTGGCTTTTTGTGTCAATTAGCACGCTCCCATGCTCAGTCAATATGGGTGTTGTGCATTTGAATATACATCACAGTCATTTAAGCTGGGCATGCAGGCTGAAATAATATAGAAACATTAATATGTACACACAAAAGTGCCAAGTCGAAACAAAACAAAACAAAAATGCCCAGCTGTTTGGACCTAATGTTTTTTTCTCTGTGCTTTGTCTCTGTTCACTATATTATAAATGTAACATGTGAGTGAGAACGCCATCCAGCTATCATTAATCTAAAGGTCTACCTTCACCTGAAGATGGCAGCACAGCGTCGAGCTACTCAAGAATCAGGAGCGCTCGTCTCAAGCTGCCTAAATAACTTCTGTAGTGCTGCTCTGTAAGCTGACTGTGCTGGAGGGATTAAGCACACGGACTGTACGAGAGAAAAAAACTAGCAGATACTATTTTAATTCACATTTAAATGTATGATTTCCTTATCCTTCATTCTGTTTTCCTTGTTTTTGCCTCTAAATCTCCAATCCTAGTTATTCCACTGCACCTTTGTTTCATTTCATTTTTCTCCAAGAGATTTCAAGCCTTTGCATATCACTTTTAAGCTATTTTATAGTTTTCTATGTTCCTACATGTTATAGAAGCTTATATATTTGACGGTCCATCATTAAGGAAAAGCAACTTTCAACATCCATTTTCCTCCCCAGCAGACATTTCTGCACAAAATCCCGCTGCAGTCCTGTAATCCTGCACTTCCATTCCAACAGAGGACGTTCAGCATGTGCTTCACATCAAAGAGTCCAAACTCCACCGTCCCGACAGGTCCAATAGCATCTACACTAACCCACTGGCTTCAGTAGTTAGCATCTATGCTAAGCCACTGGCCTCAGTAGTAGTAATAGCCTTGGTTTGCCTCGATGATCTTCTGCTCCAGCTTTTTCTTCAGCTCTGACACCAGCGCTGAGCTGACGTTTCCCTCTTTGCTCTGGCTGGGCCTGTCTTCTGTATCTTTGCTAGTGAGGGATTTCTGGCTGGAGGTGCGGCTGCAGCTCCTAGAGGTCAGTGACCCAGAGATGGTGGGCACCGCCGACCTCTGACGCTCAGTGACCCTGGGATTGGCCAGCGGTGGCGGAGGCAGGACCGGCGCAGTGGGTGGGGGTGGCTTGGGCCACGAGCTGTTGTTGTTCTTGTTGCGGTTGGCAGTGCTGCTCTCCACGTCGTCGACCACTACCTTGTCAGGACTGTCAGACTGGCCGAAGGGCGTTTTGAAGTTCCACTGCTGCTGCTCCCTGCGTCTGCGGCGGATGATGCGATGGGCCGGCGCGATCCTGTTGGACTTTGTGTTGCGCATGTACATGGCCGTCGAGATCAACACCGTGACCATTACCATTACGCTAATGACCCCGGCCACCATGCCTAGGGCTTTCAACGGATTGTCCCTACTTTGCATTAAAAAGGCCGCCATGGGGCCCGAGAGAGGATTCTGTAAGAGAGCACAAAAAGCACACTGTAAATACAGCCCACAGAAAACAACTGTAAAAAATAATAAAGAAATAAAGAAATAATATCAAAGCATGAAGAATGTCCATATGGGAAGATGAGGCCCAATTCCACCATTGATTAAGGGTCTGTTAATGTGGCACTGAAGTGTAATTCATGCCACTCCTCATGTGGGGCCAGGTAACCATGTGAGAAACTAATCAGCACTTTGAAACAGGTTGGGAAATGTGGTGCCTTCAGAACCTTTTATTTCTTTATTAATGTCACTGAGGGATCTGCTCAAACTCAGAGGCAGCGCTTGTTTATTCTGGTAGAAAAGCATCCTCAAGCTGACAAACCTTCACATTTATTTTGCTCTAGCAAATGTGCATTTGGGCAAGTGCAGTTCAAAATCATGCTTGCTACTGTAAGATATATTCATATCACTCATTATTTATTATAAGAGTGATATAATTCTTGCTATCATACGAGACGTCACTCATTTTTTACAATAAGAGTGAAAATATCCTTGCTACTGTAAAAGACATAACTCATATCACTCTATTTACAGTAAGAGTGATATCATTCTTGCTACTATTAGAGACACTCATATCACTCACTATTTACAATAAGAGTGATATCATCCTTACTACTGTAAGATATATCACTCATATCACTCTATTTATAATAAAAGTGATATAATTCTTGCTGTCATACAAGATGTCACTCATTTTCTTATAATAAGAGTGATATCATCCTTACTACTGTAAGATATATCGCTCATATCACTCATTATTTACATTAAGATCGATATCATCCTTGCTACTGTAAGATACATCACTCATATCACTCATTATTTAAGAGTGATATAATTCTTGCTATCATATGAGATGTCACTCATTTTTTATACAATAAGAGTGAAAATATCCTTGCTACTGTAAGATATCATTCATTTTTTACATTAAGATTGATATCATCCTTGCTACTGTAAGATACATCACTCATATCACTCATTATTTATTATAAGAGTGATATAATTCTTGCTATCATACGAGATGTCACTCATTTTTTACAATAAGAGTGAAAATATCCTTGCTACTGTAAAAGACATCTCATATCACTCATTATTTACAGTAAGAGTGATATCATTCTTGCTACTATTAGAGACACTCATATCACTCACTATTTACAATAAGAGTGATATCATCCTTACTACTGTAAGATATATCACTCATATCACTCATTATTTACATTAAGATTGATATCATCCTTGCCACTGTAAGATACATCACTCATATCACTCATTATTTATTATAAGAGTGATATAATTCTTGCTATCATACGAGATCTCACTCATTTTTTATACAATAAGAGTGAAAATATCCTTGCTACTGTAAGATATCACTCATTATTTACATTAAGAGTGATATCATCCTTGCTACTGTAAGATATATCACTCATATCACTCTATTTATAATAAGAGTGATATAATTCTTGCTGTCATACAAGATGTCACTCATTTTCTTATAATAAGAGTGATATCATCCTTACTACTGCAAGATATATCACTCATATCACTCATTATTTACATTAAGAGTGATATCATCCTTGCTACTGTAAGATATATCACTCATATCACTCATTATTTATTATAAGAGTGATATAATTCTTGCTATCATATGAGATATGACATTTTTTATACAATAAGAGTGAAATTATCCTTGCTACTGTAAAAGACATACCACAAGAAATCACTCATATCACTCATATCACTATTTACAATGAGTGATATGTCCTTGTTATCATATAAATTCATGTATAGCAAAACACAGAGTTCTACAAACTGCTTTTTAGAGAGATGTTTCAGGTAAACTTCATTTTTATCAATATTCTGAATCCAGCATTATCCAATATTATCATTTATCCAACATTATCATTCACCATTAACCCATAGATAGGGTCATAGGTGATAGATTAAATGAAAAACTTGAATAAATGATTATTAAATTAATCAAATTTTAATTAGTGATTGAGTTTGAGTTTTTTATTGAGTAGAGTAATTGAGTTTGAGAGTTCAGTGGTGTGAGAACCACAGGCACTAGTCTACAGAGATGTGGAATAAAGTGATATGGTCAGAGGGTCTCCATACTCTCCACAACTGGAAGAGTGCATGTGCAGTGTACACCAAGAGAGCACTATAGGCTGGAATGCCTGACCCCTACAGGGTTGGGGTCTGGTGCCTCTGTTATACTGTGGGGGAGCATTTTGCTGGCATAATTCTGCAAATAAATACAAATTCTGACCGATCCCCTTCATCTTTCATGAGCATTATTTTCTTAATTGGAGTGGTCACTGAATGGTTTGATGAGTTTGAAAATGATGTAAATCATATGCTTTGGCCTTCACAGTCACCACATCTCAACTTAGCTGACACCTATGGGAGATTGTGAACCAACAGTGGTCTTAACCACCACCATCAAAACACCAACTGAGGGAATATCTTTTGGAAGAACGATGGTCCATCCTTCCAGCGCAGTTCCAGAGAGATGTGGAATCTATGGCAAAGTGCACTGCAGCTGTACTGGTGGCTTGTGGTGGCCCAACACCTTTCGACAATTTATGTTGTTTTGTCCTTTGTCACCTGTCTGCATATTGAGTATCGCTGTAAGAGAACCTTTAACCTGGATTAAAATCCCCAAAACAAGAGTCTTTAGTGTAGATATCAAATATAATATTAAAAAAACAAGGCAGTTTAATCTATAATAGCAAATAAAACAAAACAATAAAGTTTTGCAGAACAACACTAATGAAAATTACTCAGTGACAGAAAAAAGACATGCAGGCTATAATAACTACTAAAATAAACGTATATAAAAAGAAAAAAATAATCAAACTGAAAATAAGGACGAACAAAAAATACATAATGTTTTGGGCACAAATTAGACCTTAGATGTAACACTGCTAAACTACACAAACATAAAATATATATATGTATATATATATATATATATATGATTTTCTGAATATATAACATATTAAACATCAAGTATTTCAAAAAATAGATTTCCCCTCAAAATGTTCAGTGACCCTTGAGATGAGGTGGACTAAGAGTTACAGTTTGGGCCTTCGGATTATTTTTCGGAAGCTAGCCTCGGGATTGACCCGGGCCTGTCTCACTGCAGTCCAGTAAAGCATTGATGAAATGAAGACGGTTAGCGAAACGGCGAAGGTGACAAAGCTCAAACAAATTCCAAAAACAGTCAACGGACGATTCCTCAGGCCCAAGAAGTACGCAATTATTCTTTCTTTGATCTGAAAGCACAATACAACACACAAAGAACTTAAGATAGCAAGATCGCCCGCTGAAAGCAACGTTAAGGACATCGCTCACAATGTCCATAGTTAACTCTTTAACTGCTTGTTAAAAATGACTGTTATAATGAGCTTTTTATATTGCAACATCATGAAGGATGTCTCTCTACAAATATCCACACTGGGGCTTTCTACAAGTCAGGGTTTGAGTCAATATACCTCGAGTGCGTGTCATTTGTGAGCCAAGGTGACTTTCGATTTCAGAGCCGTTCAGGTGTAGTACTGAAATGTAATCAACCCCAAACCCTGAACAGGAGCACAAGTGACACAAACAACAAGATACAAACAAAACTAATGGTTCAAGACTAACAGGCCTGGGTTCGAATAACCAAAGTCTCCATTAGCAATATTTCCAACCTCATAATTCAACCAGAAAGGTCCATTAACATGTCTCAGATAAGGTACTTTCCACTTCCAGCAGACTTTGGCTCTTTGAAACGAGGCGTGGCTTTAAATCAACATGCTCAGTGGTGGTTCGTGGGAAAATTGAGAGGGGAAGCAAACATTGCACTGCTTAAATTGGCACCTACTTAGGTGTAATACGGAGTAGTTCAATGCATACAGGGATAGAAAAGGTCCAGTGCAATTACTGGAATTAGATCGTACTTACAAGTAACTTGTGCTATCAGCTAAAATGTAAACATGTGATTAACAATTCATAGACACTTGAAGTAGTTTTAAACGTATGCAAAAGTTTGAGCACCTCTGGTCAAATTACAGGTTTGTTGATTTTCTATGTAAATATAAGTTAACGTCCTCTATTGGGAACAAACTTAAATGTGACATTTTCCTGCAAATTTTACCTGCAAAAAAAGAGACATCATAAATAAATAAATAAAATATGAAATATTAAATGCACCAAAAATGCACTTTTTTTTTAATATGTTCAGTTCAGCAAATAAATAGTAGTTGTGCATTAAAATGTGCAGAACTGTGTGTTGTGCAGAGGATGTGTTACTTATTTATACTTAACAAAGTGCCAACTTTGCATACAAATAAATGGCTAAGCCAGAGTAGATAATACTCTATATGTGCACTTTGTAGCTCTACAGTTACAGACTGTAGTCCATCTGTTTCTCTGCATACTGTGTTAGCCCCCTTTTACCCTGTTCTTCAGTGGTCAGGACCCCCATGGACCCTCACAGAGCAGGTACTATTTGGATGGTGGATCATTCTCAGCACTGCAGTAACACTGACGTGGTGGTGGTGTGTTAGTGTGTGTTGTGCTGGTCTGAGTGGATCAGACACAGCAGTGCTGCTGGAGTTTGGACACCTGCTGTGTCTGATCCACTCATACCAGCACAACACACACACACCACGTCAGTGTTACTGCAGTGCTGTTAATGTAACCAAATTTTGGACTATTTCTACTGATCCATTCATCATGAAATTTTCTTATATTTCTTATATTCCTTTCATTTAGCTTATATGAATATGAAAATTCACCTTGACCTTTCCTAAACCTAAACCTGGCCCTAATCCTATCCCTAATCCTAACCTCAACCCAAACCCTGCTTCTAAACCTAACCTGGCCCTGAAACCCCAAAGCTACTTTAATTTGCCCCTTATCTCAAAAATAAAGGTTCCACTAAATAGAAGAACCACTAACTGTTCCTAAAAAATCTCGTAATGGATGGTTCTTGGATGAGATGTGTGAGTGTGAAAAACCTGAAAAAGCTTTCAGAAGCCAGAAACCATTTTAACTTTAAGTAGTATTTAAATTTAATTCACAGTTTTCACAGATTTTTTGAAGATGATGCACCTTTTTCACATATTCTGAAGGCCCACCACTGAGCATGTTACATGAGTCGACACTGCGATACCATCTAATGACTCTTACCGCCTCAGTGATGTCAATCTTCACTACAGCTGTGGTGGTGAAAGACGGCGATCCGCGGTCTCGAGCCTGGACCACCACGGACCACTTGCAGTCTTTCTGCCTGGTGATGTTCTGCACGATCTCCATGGACTTGATGAACGGTTTGAGCTTGATCTCGCCTGTGCTAGTGTTGATGTCGAAAACGTTTTCGGGGTCCGCCTTCATGATGGAGTACTCGATGACGTTGTTTGGTTCTTCTGCATCGTCGTCCACCGCCTGCACACAGAAAAGCGGGTTGAAGGGACAGTTTAACCAAACAATGATATCATTACTAACAGTGAAGCCTAAGTCAATCATTGCTAGCTACATTGGCAGTGTTCAGTTGACCTATGCTGGCTGCATGGGGTACAAAGTAACTTGGGGTGAAATGTAACATAGATTTTTATGTGGTTAAACAGGTTAAAATGAAATGTGTTTTTGGTCTGGCAGATATTTCTTTAAAAAAATAGTCAAAGAAAAAAGATTGAAAAAAGACTGCAGTAAAAAAACCCTCATGTCTCCTCAGTAATAAAACTCACGCATCTGTACGGTAATGAAATTACTACAGGAGGCACAATTTCGGGTTGTAATTTCTACACAGTCACACTTGGTCATATGATCATGCTCTATTCTGTTGGATTGTGGTTCTGTCTATCAGAATAGTGATTCTGTTTCTAAGGGCCTGATCCTCTTAAGCCCCATGTGGCCACATCTGGCCCACCACACAATCCTATCTGGCCCACAGAAGTATTTTAATTTTCTATTAATATTAGCTCGTTTCACCACGTGCTGCACTACAATCCCCAGCATGCACTGCAACGTAATGTATGCTCTGACTCTCCCACCCCAACAACAATCTTTATAGTCCACCAACCAAAAATATCCAGCCAACAGCGTCCTGTGGGCAGCGTCCTGTGACCACTGATGAAGGACTAGAGGATGACCAACATCCTGATCTCAGCAGCAGATGAGCTATCGTCTCTGACTTTACATCTACAAGGTGGACTGACAAGGTAGGAGTGTCTAATAGAGTGGACAGTGAGTGGACACAGTGTTTAAAAACTCCAGCAGCACTGCTGTGTCTGATCCACTCAGACCAGCACAACACACACTAACACACCACCACCACCACCACATCACCACCCAAATAGTACCTGCTCTGTGAGGGTAACAGGGTAAAAGGGGGCTAACAAAGTATACAGAGAAACAGATGGACTACAGTCTGTAACTGTAGAACTACAAAGTGGACCTATATAGTAAGTGGAGCTGATAAAATGGACAATGAGCGTAGAAACAAGGATAATGTTATGCCTGATCAGTGTATAATGCATTATAGATGATTATAGCTGTCCAGATTTCTTGCACCTAACTTTCTCTAAAACTTTGGCACAGTACTGTAAATTCAAAGAATTTTTAAACTCTAGTCATTTTCCACAAGTTTTCTCTAGTTATACAGAAGAATCCTGAAGGGGATAAAAACCGAAATCGTCAGGGGGAATTTGTGGCAGCCGGAAAAGATAAGTGCTAGGCCTACAGGGATTGGTCTAATCTACTGCCCAACAGGACAGATGGCTATCCACAAAACAGAAGGGCACAGTGTTGTCACACATTCCACTCCATATATATTCTGTAGAAGGGATTTGTCAGAAACGCCAGTGTTAAATGAAACCCTTTTATCACTGGTCAACAAACTATGGATTACATGAAGATTCTGTGAAAATAAAATATTTTACATGCTGGAAACTTCATGACTATAAGCTTTAAAATAATGCTGCTTCATGATCAAAAGGGCCTTACAACAACAAATATGTCTTAAAACCTGTTTTGGTGACACAGGACATTAAAATTACTATAAGCGATTCTCTTGTCTGCGTGAGAATTGAGGTTAGGTGCATTAGTGGAGCTGGACGCATGCTTTAATTAGAAATTTTAATAATCTTGTTAGGAGTAGGTATGTGTGATATGTGCTATTCTATGAGGCTGTGATTGTTAAAGGTTCAGGAACTGTGAAGGTCTATATTTAGTTCAGCACATTTGAGAGCCATGAAAATAGTTAAGAATTCTCTTTATATGTATTATTGTTCACTCTGAAGGCAGCGGCCTTGGAGGGAGTCCTTCCTGGTCCGACCACAATTTGCCACGCTGCTCCAGCTAATCAACCACTTCTCAAGTCCCTGATTGGCTGGATCAGAGGTATTACAGTTAAATAAGAGTCGGAGACCACTGCTGTAAGACCTCCAGTACTGAAGAAAACCACAAACCTCTACTTTCACAGGGGCTCCGATGATCATGGTCTTCTCCAGGAAGTTTTCATCAAACTCTGGAGGGTGGTCATTTAGATCCAGCACAGTGACAAAGACTTCCGCCAGGCTGTATTTACCCTCAGTGTCTTCTGCTTTCACATAGAAATTATACTTGGACTTCACTTCAGCGTCCAGAGTGGCCCACGGCTGAGTGTAGATGATTCCTGAAGTGGGGTGGATCAGAAACCTGGAATGCAGAAAGTCAAAATCAGGGCTCAAAACTGGTTCGAGAACAAATACAAATGCTCATAGATAAATCTGTCATCTATAAATAGTGTTTATTGGTTTCTGTGTATCCCATGATTATGCGAGAAAAACACAAATTTATATCAGCTAATTATGTCTTTCCTTCTGTTTATGCATGAGCTAAAGTAAATTGAGCTGACTTATAAATGTTTCTTATTACAATCTGTAATGTATGCCTTGTATGCCTTTGATCAGGGGTGCTCAAACTTTTTGTCTTAGGGGCCAAAATGCAATGTTTGTGGTGGGCTTAGGCCTTCAAAGACAAAACAATATTCAAATAAAGAAGGTAAGTAGGTTTCAAATAAATGCATTCATAACTGCACACTATATTTTGTTAGTTAACTGTTTCAAAAATACAACTGTAAATGGACAATAAGAATTTATTGAGTTATATAGAGCATACAAATATGTTTGTTCTCTTATGGGGTGAGAGGGCGGGGTTAGGGTAACTTTCTGGTGGGCTGCGGGCAAGCTTTGGATCTATCTTAGATAGATAACTGGGCCTGTTTGTTGGTGGCTATGATAGGATAAACTGCAATACAACTGTTGAGTTTAATAGCTTTCCAAATGTGCTATTGAACTATACTGGGCTTACATAAAGCAAATGTATAAGTTTGTCATAAATGGTGTAGGAAGTGATTAAGGAATGTTTGGTGTAGTTATGGGGGTCTGGGGGGGTGGGCCTAGGACCTCTCAATTGGAAGCTAGCCCCACATGTAAAAAGAATAAATTCATCTTACACACTTCTAATACAGGCTGAACCCAATGGTGCTGTGTTTTTGCGTCTTTGTGTCTTTATTTTCACCTTAAATAAAAGTGACTGCCAAAACTCTCATTTGATCACTAATTTTTGGCACCAGCAATCACCAGAGCAATGCTTACACAGCTGCATGGCACCATCAGGGGCGTAACAATGAGGTTTTAAACCAGCCATGCAGTGAGGCATGGAACAGCTAGTACAGTGGTCGGCTGCATGTAGCTCTGGAGCCACATGCAGCTCTTTTACTGCCCTGTTGTGGCTCCACAGCAGAATTAGATTAGTAGGTAAAAATAAAATAATCCTCCTTTACAGTAAAATAAAGCTCTGCTGATCGTTCAACACAGTTTGACAACAAATGGTCTGAAACGCTGGAGTTAATGTAGAACTGCTGATTCACTGATTCAATGAGAAACGGTCAAACACTAAAAAAGTTGCAAAGCTGAATTCAGCTTCTCTTTTGCCAGCTTCTTGTTCGATTTTTCCTGTTCCACCTTAAATGGTGCAGCAGTTACATACTGGCACCTCAGGCACCATTTAAGGTGGAACGGGAGAATTCCAACACAAAGCTGGCGAATGAGAAGCGACTTCAGTGTCATAAAAAGTTGAACATCAAGTGATATTTCACAAGAAACTGCTCTACTTTTGAGAAAAAGTTTCCTGCTGGAGATGTGAGAAAACAGCTATAGCTGAGTTAAAGCTCAAAGCAGAGCAAAGTTAGTCTGTGTTTTTGTTTATATTATATTTTTTTAGCCTATACCAGGACATTAGCACATACTGAGACACATTTACAACCAAGATGGTAAAACGTTACTTAAATAAATGGACATAAAATGTTGTGGCTCCCAAAGTGGATGAATTTTGTTGAAAGGACAAAATGGCTTTTCTTAACATTTGGGTTGTCGACCTCTGAGCTAGTGGAAGCTACACTCCTGTGCAAAAAAGGGCCAAGCCCAAAATTGCAAAATGTGATGCTTTCAATAGTCTTAACAACAAATTTTTCCACTCATTCCACAGCATTGATGGCTTCAAACAGTCAAAAAACATTGCCAAGCTAGTTTGTTTTTATTGTGAGACCAAATAGTCTTTATAGGGTTTAAATCTGGACTCTGATCAGCCCAAAACCATCAGTAAAAACCATCATATTTTGGGCTTGGCTCTGGCTTTTTGCCCAGGAGTGTATATTGTAGAAAAAAGGTTAATTAGCATTTACCTGCTTTGTTATGATGTCAGCTGTTATAGCACTAACAGTTAAATGCAATGCCAGCGCTTGTGTGTTGCGTTTAATATTTCATTATGTTTTCCTCTCTGATTAAGGAAACTGAAGGACAGTAGGTTGTTGTCAGTTTCACTACAGTAATTTCTCTGGTATAAAATCCTTCCTAGCTGGCCCCCCCAACCTGAGACCAAGCCCCCTAAAATGAAATACTCCACTCTTTGAAACACAAGAATGGAAAGCGCCCATATCCTAAATTTTTCTTGTATTTTACTTTTTCCCCATGAGGTCCCACTTACAACATTTGTGTAGTTTTATGTACCAAAAATGGTCATCATTTACTTTTCCATGACCATTTTCCAACGTTTTGTTGCTGTTTTTGTTACTGTGTCTTTAAGACTAACACATGCAAATACTCTGTTCTGATTGGTTGTGCCTCATTTAAAAACCAATCAGAGCTGAAATACTCTTTGGAACTTCAATGTGAATGGGCGGGGCTAAACTGCTGTAGTCTGAATAAGTGGACATATGTATGTATGTTTGTTTTTGTGATATCACGAAATCAATATGGGCTGTTTTCACAGTTTAGTTTCCATATGTGGACCGTTGTGAACTGTATGGTTTGAAACTTTAACAATGTTTACATATTACTATTACAAATTACACTGATACAAACACTTTTTATTCAAAAAAGCGAGGAAAATTTGTTTTTTCTACGATACGGGTCCTTTAAAAATATTATATACATTTATTATATGAAATATCTAATTTTTAATTATTTTTTTTTATTCTGAACCCTGGTCAAAATTATTTTACATATACAAATTGCTGTTTTTATATGTAGCCCAGGAGCTGGTTATCTGTTATAGACTGAGCCTTGAGTGTAGGACACCACCCAGGATAAACAATTCACACGATAATCAATGACTGACATTCAACAAACAGCAGGAATGTGTGATCAAATATGCTGATATGTGATGACCAAGATATGCATGTTAGAATAGCACAGTGACCAGTCTTTGCTGGCAGCATGACCCCAGCATTACAACACAATTGCATCTACAGCCATCATGCTTTGTGCTGACCAGAGATACTATAATGTAAATCCTGCCAACTATTCAGGAGCTGAGTAATCTTAAGCATTATGTGCCATTAAGGCCCTAGATGGGTCTCAAACCCTGTGATAACAATGAAATTTTCCATTTCATTTCAGACAGGCCTGCGCCTCAATCTGTTTTCTCGCCGTTGTACCATCAGCGCTCAGCTGGTGAAAATTAACAAGTCTGCATTAAACTTGAGAGCTTTCGCACATTTCCAATGCGCCTTCCGTGCCAGGGTGGGAGCGAGGCATACATTAACAGGTTTTTGCATTTACTGTGCACTTCGTGCTCTTGTCAGCATGGCTGTCTTCCTATCTCCAGCTGTCACGTCGCATGCTAATTGGGCTCTGACTCACAAAAGGAGCCTGGAGAGTCTATTTTTACTCTTCCAATCCAATTAGGCGATTAGCTAGTGTCTTTGCTCCAGTCTCCAAGTAAACCGTTTGTGCAGGAGATGAACCATCCAGAGAGTCTTCTCCTTTTAAAGAGGCCAGCCCAGCCCAGCCCAGCCCCGCCCTCCAAAACATATCCCATCATCCTCTTAACCAGGTGGCTTTCAACTCCAAACATCCACATGGCTGCTTGTCACCATAATGGCAGGCCAGTTCACTCTCTGCAGGCTCATGTGTGACATGTGACAATATTTGTTGACATGTTTTCCATCTGCTTTATTAGAAACACCTACCTTGAATTTCTATTCACTGGCCACTTTATTAGAAACAACTACCTTGTACGTCCACTTAGTGGCCACTTTACTAGAAACACCTACCTTGTACGTCCACTCACTAGCCCCTTTATTAGAAACGTCCACTTAGTGGCCTCTTTATTAGAAACAACTAGCTTGGTCTTCCACTCACTGGCCACTTTATTAGAAACACCTACACTGTACATCCACTTAGTGGCCTCTTTATTAGAAACAACTACCTTGTATGACCACTTAGTGGCCTCTGTATTACAAACACCTACCTTGAACTTGTACTCACTGGCTACTTGATTAAAAAACAACTACCTTGTACTTCCACTCACTAGCCACTTCATTAGAAACGTCCACTTAGTGGCCTCTTTATTAGAAACAACTACCTTGGTCTTCCACTCACTGGCCACTTTACTAGAAACACCTACCTTGTACGTCCACTCACTAGCCACTTCATTAGAAACGTCCACTTAGTGGCCTCTTTATTAGAAACAACTACCTTGGTCTTCCACTCACTGGCCACTTTACTAGAAACACCTACCTTGTACGTCCACTCACTAGCCACTTCATTAGAAATGTCCACTTAGTGGCCTCTTTATTAGAAACAACTACCTTGGTCTTCCACTCACTGGCCACTTTATTAGAAAGATCTCCCTCATAGCTCCACTAGGTAGGTGTACAATAACAGCCTGTGGTTCACCTGCGGCTACACAATTTATCAGCCCCCCTCCACCTCATTCATCATTAGTCAGTTTCTGACCACAGCACAGCTGTTGTCCAGATATTATTTTGGTGGTGGTCCATTTTCAGCACAGCAGTGACACTGACATAGTAGTGTGTGTGGTGATCATATGAGTGTATCAGACACAGCGGTGTTGCTGGAGTTTTTACACATGTCAATGACACTGCTAGGTCGAGAGTGGACCACCATCCAAAAATATCCAGACAACAGCTGCTCTGTAGTGAGAAACTGACCAAACTGACCACAGAATGTGCATCAATACAGGAACTACAGCCTGTAGAGGCATTTTTTCCACTTGCCAGCACGATATGGTTACAAACCCATGATCACACATTTTGCAGTCATTTCCACTGCTAAGTGAACCGTACTGTACCTGACTTGCAATCGTCATGACAGTCAAACACAATCGTCAGACCACCGCCATTAAAAAGCGACACTAGCTGGTCAGCCTTTTTGCGACTCTCAACATGAAATCAAATGCCAAGTAAAAGCTAAACCAGAGTTTGATGCTCCTCTATTGCTGTGTGTTCACTTTTATCGGCACCTACTTTAACAATTCTGGGATGAGAAACAGACACAGGTGCTCGAGTAGGGTGGATATTTCTGGGTTCGATTAGTAACTGTACTGTGCCACACTGCCCACTGAAAAAACAGCAATAATAAAGTGGCCAACATGTACGCAATAATATGTTGAACTTCAACATTTGAATATTTCATATAGGTGTTTATTTTTTGTTCAACTTGTTCAAAATCAATTTATAAATGATTAATGGCTTAAAAAAAATCATACAGAGATGTAAAACAAAAAAGCCCATTGAAAAGTACCAGTACATTGATAGGACCGCCAACAGCACAGTGTTAGGATCATTGGCAAAAGATTACTTGTAGAAGATCTCAGTGCTAATGTCTTGTATTGCATTGCGATGTTATGTCTGTATTCTGTATTTATGTGTTTTCTTTCTAGGCGTCACCACTGAATTTTGATTAAGGCAGTATCTTAACTCAAGGGTAGTTTGGACTCACCTATTAGTATAAGCTAGGATACATTTAATGCTGCAAATGTAAACATACAACGTTGGGCAACTCATCTCAGAATCTGATACACATTCAGTGATCAGCACAGCCTCCAGAACACAGCAAATATGCCAACATAGTAGAATGAATTAGTCCTGCAGGAGCAGACATCGATGCATAATGACAATAAACATCTGGAGACAACTTGTTAGTCTTTTGTTCTGGATGCCGCTGCAAAATCCGCCACAAACAAGCGTATGTCTCCTCTAAACCCCCTACGGTCCTCTAGTTCATGCTCTACAATTGATAACAATAGCAAAGCAAGCCTGTTAGTGAATCGCTATTGTTAACTAACAGAACTGTTTTTCCCTGCAAAGGCAAGGTTTAAATTTCTCATGTGTAATATGTTCTCCACACACAGGTGGAACACATGCTTAATTAGAGTTTTCACATCTACATGCTTAGAGTTTTTTTTTTACCAATGCTGTCTTACATTACATCCTTACACTAACAGCAGGCCTGTCAAATAATGCTGACGAGCGCTCCATCGCCCCCTACTTTGAGCTTCACCTTCACAAAATGTTGGAGTGGTTTAGAGGTTTCACACTCTTATGAGTCTATATTCCCACCCACATTTAATCCAAAATCATGAATGAAAGCTAATTTCAAAGCAAAGATTCTTAAATTATTCTTAGTCTGGACTTTTGGTTCTAGGAAAAAAAATGTAATTGGTATAGAATCTTTCAATAATCTGGAGGTTCTTTAAACTTTAAAAATGTCACCCATTATTCTCATTTACAAAAGTGACTTAACCCTTGTGTGGTGTTGATGTGGTCTGGTGAACCCACCACATTATTGTTTTTTAAATCAATACAGTATCAATACAATAACAATTTATGTAAAAATACCAGATATTTAAAAATATCACGTGTCCAGGGTAGGGTTCTCCTTTAGCAGCTGTAGCCAGTCAGCAGCCTGTCCATGCTGTCCACCCTCACACACACAGACACACATATACAAACACATACACACACAGACACACACACACACACACACTAACAGCAGGCCATGTAGGAGGAGAACAGAGTGAAGGACACAGCACCTCCACACTTTTATTCCCCGCGGGTTCAGCCCAACACCACATGTGTAATATAAATGTGTGGGGGGTGAACAGAGTGAATACACTGAAAATGGGTTATTTTATATGTTCTTCACAGAAAATGAGCAAAGGGGTTGAAATAATAATAAATTGCATCATTTTTTCTTTTGTTAAACATTGAAAATGGGTCCCACAGACCTGAACACCACACAAGGGTTAAAGCACTGCAAGGTTATTTAGGGAACCAGATGTTGTTCTTCAATGGCATCGCTCTTAAGAAAAACAGATTTTACTTAGGAGTCAGAAAACAGAGGTCATTTACATATATCAGTCTTAACAGCATGGCCGTTTAACTCTGAGGTATAAAGAGAGGTTAGAAATGGTCATATAATCAACTGCGATTGTTTTCAGTACATACAACCACACAAACGGACTAGTGTAAGTATGCCAGTAGCTTTCACTGTTGAAAAATCCAAATATTCCTTAAACCGAACAGGTTTTGTGGTACTAATCTAGTGTTTATCGATCACTCTGTGCAGCATGTGTGCTGTTACATAAAGATCAGATGCCGCTGTCACTAGACTATCTGTTTTCCTTCCTAAGTACATGAATCACAGCTTGGGAGATAATAATATTGCATAAGCTATTACTGGTTCAGTGTGATTTAGTCTGGGTCGCTGGCTGGGAGACGGTCGCAGGCTGAGTCAATCACTTAATTTCATGAAGCTGTGATTATTAATATTAGCAAGGAGGTCATTTTAGCTCTACTCACAGATCAGCTCCTGAGCCATAGATGGAGTACTTCACATCTCCCCACAGGCCTGAGTCCGGATCTGTGGCCTGAAAATAAAAGAATCCGCTAAACATAGACCCCACAATAGAACACTCAGAGAAATATATATCTATATTTATCTATCTGGATCTATACACAGATATATAATTATGTCTGGGAAACCATATATGTACAATATTTAGGGCTGTCAAACTTTGTTGCATGTTTATAATGTGACAAATTATTAAACGCTTGCCCGTTTTCCTGGTTTGACCCTTCAAACCATCCACAGTAGTGCAGGTTGAAGCCCAGCTGCAGCACACTGAATATTGCTATGATACAATCCTCGATTATAGCCCTTTTGTTCAAACACAGCTCACAGCCCACAGTGGTTTTCATAGACCATAAAGGAGTCGGGGGCCGTGGGGATTAGCCTAGGCCCACCAACTATTCATGTCCCACAAAACCCCCTGTTTTGTACATGATTCTATGATTGGTAGGTGGCAAAAAACAAAGTAAGGCTAAACTCCGAGTAAGCTGCTGCACTGGTTCCACTTATAAAGGGCTAACTCTATTAACACAGGAGGGTTTGCATGCATCACTTTGTACTTTGTATGGGGGCAGTCGTTAGGGAGGTTAGGGAAACAGCCTTGTGACCGGAAGGTCGCCGGTTCGATCCCCTCAGCTGACAGTACGTGACTGAAGTGCCCTTGAGCGAGGCACCTAACCCCCAACTGCTCCCCGGGCGCCGTGGATAGGGCTGCTCACTGCCCCCTAGTGTGTGTGTGTTCACTAGTGTGTATGTGGTATTTCACTGCACGGATGGGTTAAAAGCGGAGGTCCAATTCCGATGTGTTCAGATACAGTTGGCTAAAAAGGTTAATTTCATCTCATCTCACTAGCTGCATTTCAGTAACGCACTGTATGTTATGGAAGGATAAGTCAGCAGACATTTCCTAAATTAGTAGATATTTGGTGATATTTTACTGTAAATGTGCCTCTCCTGGCGATTCTGTCCTGAACGTGTGGCTCCTTCAGACAGATCTTCTATAAGTCTTTTGTGCAGTGTTTTATATCTACTGTTGATAAGTGTAAAATAATACTAGATCTGAAAAATGATGTTTTCTCTGGGCACTTTTCGCCTCATAGTGCCTTTCTTGTACCTATTCACTATGAATTTTAAAAATATTTTTAAAAATGTATTTTAGGCTCAAAACTATCATAGAATAATAGCTGAATCTCAAATCACTCCCTGTTTCTTATATATTATGCTATAGAAGTCATTAAACTATGGTTTCTACACCCAAATAGTGCACTAAATGTTAAATAAGGAGTCCGGCAGCCTGTGAATGAATCCCAAAAGGTTTTCTATGGGTTTAAAAGTCATTATGTCATGATCTACATTGTGCACTACACAGGGTGAAGCGAGTCAACTGAGATTCAAATCATGTTTCAGACATCAAGCAGGGAATTCATAACCATTTCAAGTAAGATCTTTCTGTGAAAGAGCTTTTAGAGACAATAAACTCTTCAGATGTCTGGTTCCTATCACCACCACTGTGAAAACTTCCAAAACAAATAAGTTTATCTAGAACAGAGCATTTTACATCAAACTACAATCCATTTCCAAAAAAAGTTGGGATGGTGTGCAGAATGTAAATAAAAATAGGATGCAGTGGTCATTCGTACAAATCATGTAAACCATATTTTTAAAGGAAAATACTACAAAGACAACATATCAAATGTTGAAACTGAGAAATTTTATTGTTTTTTGAAAAATATATGCCCATTTTGGGACGGGGGCACGTTTACCACTGTGTTTCATCACCTCTTCTTTTACTCTGTAAGTGTTTGGGAACTGAGGAGACCAATTACTGTAGTTTTAAAAGAGAAATGTTTTCCTGTTCTTGTTTCATGTAGGATTTCAGTGGCTCAAGAGTTTTGAGGTCTCCTTTGTTGTATTTTTCATTTCATAATGTGCCACATGTTGTCAGTGATGACAGGTCTGGACTGCAGGCAGGTCAGTTTAGCACCCAGACTCTTGTTATACGGAGCAATGCTGTTGTAATAAATGCAGAATGTGGTTTGGCATTGTCTTGCTGAAATAATCAAGGCCTTCCCTGAAAAAGACGTCGTCTGGATGGCAGCATATGTTGCCAAAACATGTATATATCGTTCAGCATTAATGGTGCCTTCACAGATGTGCACATCACCCATGCTAGAACTTTACCAGCCTTTTGTTGCTCCCGGCCCAACTTTTTTGGAACGTATTGTTGGCATCAAATTCAAAACGGGCATATATTTAAAAAAATAATATATATATATATATATATATATATATATAATTTCTCAGTTTCAACATTTGATATGGTGTTTGTACTATTTTCAATTAAATAAATTCATTGCATTTTGTTTTTATTTACATTTTGCACAGCATCCCAACCTTTTTAGAAATGGGGTTGTACTTTGAATGATTTTATTTACATCTTAATCACTGAATTATACAGAAATTTTGAAAAATCACTGGCCCTTTAACCTGGGTCTGTGAAACTGGCTCATGCACTGAAACGCTAGTGTTTATCATGCTGTAACACAATCACAGGTGGAATAAGAACTGAACCCTGCCGCACTCACAGTGACAGATACGACATTGGAGCCTCCAGGTGAGTTCTCAGGGATCCTGGCGATGTAAAAGTCAGTGGAAAACTTGGGGGTGTTATCATTGGTGTCCAGGAGGTGGATTATGATGTCTGCTGTGGCGCTGAAACGCTCCGGCGTGTCAATTTCAACAGCTAACAGCTGGAAAATATGGGAAATATCATTGAAGAGAACCTCTGGCTCTACAAAAAGCTTGTTTTTCTTTTTATTACACACATCTAAATCTAAAACAGTCACTATTGGCAATAGCGAATAGACCAATTCCAATCTAAAGTGCCATTTTCTTTTCATACCTTGAATGATAAAAATGTGTATTTTTCATAGTCGATGGCAGTTGAGTTCTCTACTATAACGGTGACTTGGGCTTCATTAAGCACTGTTTGAGGGACCACACGAAGAACTCGACCAGGTCCCACCAGCCTCAGTCTGAACTTAGCATTTGCCCCCTGATGGAAAGAAGAAAAGAAACGTTAATCTAGACCAGCTACAGTTATCATTATTGATAACACAATCATGCTGTACTTTTTCATTTTATATATAGTTATCTATATTTTACACAATTATCTCTCACTTCTCTAAATCATTGACAGGAATGGAGACACTCTGTGCAGATTCTAAAATTTCAATCCATACAACACCACAGAGTAGAAAAGGGATATTTCACTATGTTTCGAATTGGGTGGCAAATTCTTGTTGTGCACAGTCTAACAAGAAATCACGATGTCTAAAATACAATCATAGCCATTTCATTTACTATTGAAAACCACCAATGAACGTGCATATAGGAATATGTAGTAACTTTCTGTGAGGGAGCCTATAGAGACATTAAACACTTCAGACGTCTGGTTCCTATCACCACCACTGTGAACAATTCTGAGTTGTTAAATAAATACATTTCTGTAGAACTGAGTATTTCACACCAAACCACTCTGAATGACTTTTCATACATCTTAATGATTGAATTATGCTGAAAATTTGGAAAATTGATGAAATTCCCCTTTGAAGTAATAGTGCCTCACAGCTATGTTGCCCAGACAAAGTAAAAGCATTAGAGCATATGTAAAAGCATCAAACTATACAAATAAGCTGGCAAAAGCTGGTTTAAAGCACTTAATCCAAAGCATAATGCATGAGTTGAGCACAACAATCTTGATCCTAATATCAGAATATTATAAATTAAGTTTTATTCCTAGGAATTTGGGTTATTTTGTGGAGATAATTAACATACTGCACCATGTACGGTTAAATCTGTGGTCATTCTCAGGATAAAAATACATCCAAATTTCTGAGACTAACATTGAAACGTTTCCAAAATCAAAGGATAACAGCTGACAGCAGCTTATATCAGATCTTATGCAATGCTGAGTTGCGCTTTTATACATATTTTGGCTGTTCCATGCATAAAGACAGATTAAATACATGGGGAAATGTTCATTATGTTACATAAGACCAACCAGACAGCGTATACAGTACAGCATGTCCTCTGTCTATGTGAAATGTATCGCTGTCTAGACTGATGCTATTCTGTGATAATTAACTGTTTTTCCACTGTTGAGGATCCTTACATTCATCACAGGAAGCTGAGATAAATGTGTTTTGATGCTAATTGGTTTTATGTAAAAGACAGCAGTAGTTTTTTTGTTATTAACAGACTTTTCTACAATATAAAAAACTCCTAAATGGTCATGATCTGACCTGATTTGGAAAACAACCCACATCCTTTAGTTAAATGATTTTCAGAGATTCTGCACATTTTGGCATGTTTACTTCAGTTATTACAGTCAGAGCTCATGTTTTCCATTAAAAATCTGGGTTTTGCAGGTGTGCATAACTGGCAAGCCATTGAAGACCCTTCTAAGAATCCTGAAACAGCTTCTGCCTTGCCAGCACAGTGAGCTGCAGACGTATTCTATTTGTTAAAAAAATATATTTAATACACACAGTTTGCTCTCCATAATGCATTAAAGTAACAGTTTAACAACAACAACAACAACAACAACGCTAACAATTTTCACCAAACTGCAAATGTAGTCGATCATCCGAGACACGTTTGGTGTCTGAAGTTTACTCCTGTATTTTCTGTTTGTTTATTACTTTCCAAGACAAATTTATCATGTATTCATTTGTATCCATCTGAAAAGTTATAACTAGCAAAAATAACCATGTTTACAAACTGAAACTGAAAACGATCCCAGTAATTAACTGAAAACAAGGCAAGTAAAAGTACTGAAACATTAGCAGGACAAACATTAGTGTCTCCTTCCTTCATGTAGGTCAGTGTCCAGTGTTTATTTAGGTCAGTACTGTGTTGTATATTCTTATTTTGGATGACAGCTTTAAGTCTTCTAGTTATGGAGTGTGTGAGTTTGCACAGCTGATGCTCAGCCAGGCTTGCTGGGTTTTCTCTTGTGGATGATCACGTGGCTTCTGAACACTTTTCATTCTTGATTTTGGAATTAAGAACATATCGGTAATCTTTGTCATGTGCATACATGAATAACTGGATCACTGTCCCAGCATTCATTTGGAAGTAAAATGGGAGTAAAGTCAATGTTTTCTAGCTCACTATTGCTCAGTCGGACTCAAAGTATCGATTGATCCGTCATAATACAGATGAAATGATGTCCTTTGGAATGAAACAAAGCACAATTTCCACAATAGATTAATAAATTAAATAATGCTAAATGTCCCAAATCTACTTTTGAGCTCTGGATATTAATATTGAAATGTGTATGATTCAGGTAACACATCAACAACTCACCCAAAACCTGACCCTGACCTCAACCCAAAAACCTAATCCTGACCCTCACCCTGGCCCTAATCCTAACCCTAACCTTAAACTCAACCCAAAACCTAATCCTAACCCTCGCCCTGGCCCTAACTATAACCCTCATATGTTTTTGACATGCTACTGAGAGTCCGTTGAGTGTTTGTTTCATCTAAAATATGACTCAAAATAAAGTGTCACCGATTTACAAAACCAGAAGTGAACTGGATTTTCATCATAGGTGAGCAAGCAAGTCAGCATTTGTGAAGGCAGTTGTCAGTTGTACAGATTGTTTGATATAAAGAAAGCTGCAGTTGTCTCTTTTATCTCAGCATTGCCATCTTTGTGGAGAGGTGTGAACAGATTTCACAGCAGGAGGGTCTCACCCCCCCACTTCACCCCTCATTGCTCACTAGCAGCTCACCACAGAGTCGCAACATTTCTCATACAGAGAGAGAACAGTGCTCTAGTTAATGTGATAACATATTTACAGGGAAAATGTTTTATATATAATTTCCATTCCACCAGCAGAGCAACCACTAGGGGGCAGCAGAAGGTGGTTACACTTTTGAAGGCTGATGCAAAAAAGTCACAATTCTTGCCCTTAATCTGCATGATAACATGTTCTCTTAGTGCTTTTGCTGCATATATTTACTATGTAGGAACACATTCTAATAATGCAAATAAGTGTAAAAGCTAATAAATCAATAATAACTGTATACCGATCCTAAATGCTTTCTGAATCTGTGTGCATGGTCACTAAGAAACTATCCCAGTGCATCCAACAATAAAGACAGCATAGAGCTTATTTTATATAGTAATAGAAAACAATGTAGAACACAGAAAGCTTCAATTCCACTGATCCATGTTACTTTGGCCAACTTGCTTGTGCCGTAGTTAAAGGAGACAAAACAAAAGGTTCTGAATGGATTGGTAGCGAAAGGTTCAGTGTGATCGGGTTAGTGGAATAGCTTACAAAAAGTTAGTGGTGACCAGAATGCACTGTTTCATAAAACAAACTGGCTCCAGCTTTCAGTTGTCAGCACTAAGTGTCGAAAAAGACATACATGTGGTGTAAATTCGATAAAGTTTCTAAGCACTGACCTGGTCAGAGTCATTGACCGTAATCTTCAGGCCTCGGAGGATTTCCCCTTCGGGCGGGTGCTCATACATGGTCAGTTCAAACCTGTTCTGTGGCCCATTCTCACCATAAAATGTTGGTGGGTGGTTGTTGAGGTCCACCACGCGAATAGTCACCATGGTGATGGTGTAGTCAAGCAACTGGTTTTCTGGCCCAACTTCTGAGGCCTTGTTTTAAGACAAGGAAGAGATTATCAATGTTACCAGTAATATACCGTCATATTTACAACTACTCTGCTTAAGAACTGTATGAAAGTACCTTGACTTGAAGTTCATACAACTCATTTTTCAGTTGGATGGGATATGTTGTCAAGGTGATGCAGCCACTTGAGCTGTTGATGCTGAAGGAGCCATCGCTGCCTATAATAATAATAAAAAAAACCTCAGTGGCTCAAATTTATCCTTATCCACAATTACGCATACGTGTAGAACGAACAACACCACATAAGTGATTCAGTACAAAAACCTGAAGATAAAAGTCAATGTACAGCACTGTGAAAAAGTATTTGCCCTCTCTTAATTTCTTTTATTTTCCATATTTGTACCCTTTAATTGTTTGAGATGCTCAAATAAAATTTAATATAAGACAAAGACAGTCAGTCAATCCAACCAAGCAGCACACTATTTCTCAAAATTCAAGAAGAGACTGGAAATAAAGTTATTGAAATCTATCAGTCCGGAAAGAGTTACTAACTTTCTGGGACTCGAGTAAAACGCAGGGAGAGAAGTTATCTCCAAATGGAGAACTTGGAACAGTGGTGAAGTGGTCAGCCTACTAAAACTCTTCCAGGACTGCATCGATAACTCATCCAGAAAGTCACAAAAGAACTCTGATGAACATCTAAGCAACTATTGGCCTTGTTCATCTCAGATGAGTTGGTGTTGGATAACTTTTTTCCCTTCAACAAGTGAAATGATCATTTAAAAACTATGTTCTGGCTTTCTTCACGTTCTTTTTGACTCTCATTACATTTTACATAAGGATCTGAAACTATTTAGCGTGCCAGATGTGCAAAAAGAAAGACAACCAGGAGGGGGCTAATACTTTTGCACAGCACTGTACGGAAGTCAGCAGTCTATGAGCACATTGTGCTCCTCCTATACAAGCAGGGAGAAAAGCAAATATACTGCTTACCATTAACAATAGAGTACTGAATAGCGTTGGGGTTGCCTTGATCTCCGTCCTTGGCAAAAACGGTGAAGATCTCTGACCCCTGAACACATAAATGTCCAAAACAAAGGTCAGTCAGCGAAACACCGATGGCATACAATCACTTTTTGTGTACAATACGTCTCTGATAATCTATCACCTCATAAATCAGGTCCGAACAATATGACTAAAGTCGTAGTGTTACAATTATATAGCTGCTTATTACAATTTCAGTGCCTTGCGATGTATATTAAAAACTGACTGATAAGCCAATAATGTTACTAGGGCTGGGACCACTTATTGACTAATCGATCATTATCGATAATGGCTATGAAATCTATACATTCGTCTTATTTTTCCCATTTTGTGTTCTGAGCTTTGATCCATGATCTGAAACTCCAGTTCTGATGTATATACACATCAGTGAATGTCACAAGTCAAAGTGAAAAACAGTATATTTCAAGCTTAACGGGTGTATTGTTTAATATTGTTTAATATTGTTTAAGTCTTTTCACATTGGGTCGATTTTTACAGGTTTAACGCACTGAAACTTTCACATCAAGTCTAATGTGCTTTTATATTTAACACTGACAATGCAGGAATAAGTAGCTGAGTCATAACAGCAACGGTTTTCATTTTTCTTTTCACCAGCGTGTGTCAAAGACGTGGACCCTGAGCTCCACTAACACACAGGAGCCGAAGCTCTGTGTATCTGTGTGTGTGATGGAGTTTGAGAGGCTCTGCTTCACTTCAGCACAAAGTATTACAAGCGAACAAACTGTAAAAGCAACCATGAACTCTGATACGAAAGATAATATTTAATTAATGTTAATGTTTTTCAAAACATTTTTTTTTTTACACTTTTTACACTTTTTTTTGGCCAGTGAAGCTCTGATGAGGTGTGAAGAGGCCTTATGGCTTTGTTGCAAATGGAAACTATCCAAGATACACAGAATATATGACTGTGAAACACACAAGGCTGAAAATGGTGGAATCTATAAATAGGAATCTTCAAACTGCACCTAAAATGCAGTGGCTTCTATGAAGAACTTTAAATTTGGGTGCATAGGTCAAAAATCAATTAAACATAGCAAAAGCCACAATGTTAAGCATTTCAAAGCTGAGGTATCCAAAAAAAAAAAAGAAAAAAAAAACTTGAGCAACATGTCCGACAAATAAAGAAAAACTTTTGATATCTCAGCTCTGAATTTTTACTTCGGCCCTTTTTATGTGCAAGTCATTTGTTTACTTTTGACATGTTCAAATAATAGAAAAAATAGATATTTATCAAGAATCTTTGCAGATTTATCAATTTTTCAAAATTTCTTATCATCCCAGGCCCTCAGTGTTACTCGGGTAAATACTTGTCTGCATTCATTTTACCAAAATAATTTCCTTTATTTGGATTACATTACTTTGATTCATTGAAACACACAGAAACTCATCTAGAACTGTGATTGGTCAGAATGCTCACACCAAAAAGTAAAAACACTGGCTTGAGGGCTCATTTACACATTGCAGACTGCTGTAATATAAATAGGCTGATGCTACAGTAATGATTAATAAACATTATATTGTGCAGCCCTGTTAAAATGATAGATTCCACAGTACAGTCAGATCTTACAGTGACTTTCTAAAAGACAGTGTTTACTGTAAATAGTACTATATAAATAAAATTGAAATTAATTGAAGCACACATGCATAGGAGCTTCTACTGGCTTCCAAATAACTCCGAATAATGCCTTATGTAATACTGACTACATTATAACTGTATATCCATGCATGACAGTTGATGCAAATATGTTTGACATGCATTTTCCCATTAATGTGTATATATAAATATATAAATGTATATATATAACTTCATACATACAGGGACTGAGACTTCGTAGACATATCCAAAATATGGCGTTCCTACAAAAGTAGGAGGAGCATCCTGGGCATCGAGGACGTTGATGGTTATGGTGGCTGAAGAGGTCATTACTTGATGTTTTCCATTATATTTGCCACCACCATCCTGGACACAGGTTACAGAAATGAATCAGATTTTTGTGAAAATCAGCTTATAGTGAAAGTTATCTTATATGAACTATAACACATTGAAGCAGGAGTGGTAAAAATCAGCTACTGGTCAAGAAATATAGTACATGATATGATGGTTGTAAAAGGATAAGGTTTGTTCTCAGTTCACCAGACACAACTACAGAGATTAAACCTGTTCTAATAACTAAGTGTACATCATTTTAGGTTTATTCCTCAGTTTTGACAAGCTTAAAATGTCTAATGACTCCTGTGGAATAAAATAAATACAACCCCATTTCTGTGCAGAATGTAAATGAAAATAGGATGCAATGATACGCAAATCATATAAACCATATTTTTAAAGGAAAATACTACAAAAACAACATATCAAATGTTGAAACTTAGAAATTATATTGTTTTTTGAAAAATATATGCTCATTTTGAATTTGTTGCCAACAACAAGTTCCAAAAAAGTTGGGACGGGGGCCTGTTTACCACTGTGTTACATCACCTCTTCTTTAAACAACACTCTGTAAGCGTTTGGGAACTGAGGAGACCAATTGCTGTAGTTTTGAAAGTGCAATGTTTTCCTGTTCTTGCTTAACATAGGATTTCCGCTGCGTCAGTTCGGGGTCTCTGTTGTCATATTTTTCATTCGTAATGTTTCAAATGTTTTCAGTGGTGACAGGTCTGGACCGCATGCAGGTCAGTTTAGCACCCGGACTCTTTTCACTATGATGCCATGCTGTTGTAATACATGCAGAATGTGATTTGGCATTGTGTTGCCTTCCCTGAAAAAGACGTCATCTGGATGGCAGCATATATACAAGCTTTGGCAAAACATCATTCAGCATTAATGGTGTCAGATGTGCACAGATGTGCACGTCACCCATGCCATGTGCATTATTGTAACCCTATATGAACTGTGCACTGATAACAAGCTGAGTGGTCTTTAGCCCGGAGGACACAGTGTCCACGATTTTCAAAAAGAATTTCAAATGTTGATTCGTTGGACCACAGGACACTTTTCCACTTCACCTCAGTCCATTTTAAATGAGCTCGGGCCCAGAGAAAGCGGCAGTGTTTCTGGATCCTGTTCATATATGATTTCTTCTTGATGTTTTAGAGTTTTAACTTACATTTGTGGATGCAGCGACAAACTGTTTTCACAGACAGCGGTTTTCAGAAGTGTTTCTGAGGCCATGCAGTGATTTCCACTACAGAATCATGTCGGTTTTTAATGCAGCGCTACCTTGCAGGGCCAAAAGATCACGGGCATCCAATATTGACCATCGGTCTTGTCTTTTGTGTACAGAGATTTCTCCAGATTCTCTGAATCTTTTAATGTTATTATGTACCATAGATGATGAAAAGAAAAAGTTCTTTGCTATTTTGGGAGTGGTCTGGAGGAAGAACAGCAAATCAATAAATAAATCTACCATTCAACAGCTTTCATTTTAAATTATTAGTTATCTATTTTCCATCTAGTATCCACTGTTCTATAGATGGATCTTTTGTGACATTTTGCAATACAATCAAATTCATTGTTGACCAACCTACTTGAAAATCTAAACTTACAATAGACTTTTGTCTCTTTCTTTGAGCAGAGAACATAAATTTAACATAAAATTACACAGAAGGCTCAATGACTAAATTTAATATCAGTTTCAGTATTTAGTGTGTCCACTTTGTGTTTATTGCAGCTTCCATTCTTTTCAGGAGACTCAGTTTCAGTTTTTCAAAGAAATCTGCAGGGATATTTATCCACACCAAAGTTCAGTCTTCGAAGTTGGTCGCATTTTCTGGTTCTCACCATTCATTTGGTCTCACACTTTCTATGATGTTGAGTTCAGGACTCAAATCAAATAAAGAAAACATCTGAAAAATGAACTTGAAGCCCAATTTGACTGGAAATTAAATAATTGTGTTTTCTGACTTTTGCTCTGTACTGTATATAGAAAATTTGTCGGTAATTAACAACCTAATGATTCTTTGACCTCTCACTCAGACAGATGACCAGCCAATGCAGGCCGCCTTTACCTCTTTTTGATTTTTGATGAGGTGTAGATCGGAGTATGGTGTAACCTTTGACCCCTGAGTAATGTCAATCTAGATTAACGTTATTGAGTATGCCGCTTACCTTAGCAACCACAGTGACAAAATGCGTTTTGGAGGTCTCGTAGTCGAGATATTCTCCAGGTTTGATGCGAAGGACTCCGCTATGGCCATCAATGGTGAACTTGGTATTGGGAGTGGTCTGGAAGAAGAACAGCAAATCAATAAATATATTTACCATTCAACAGTTTTCATTTTAAACGATTAGTTATCTACTTTCCATCTAGTATCCACTGTTCTATAGATGGATCTATTGTGACATTTTGCAGTATAATCAAATTCAGTGTTGGCCAACCTAGTTGGAAATCTACACTTAAAATGGACTTTTGTCTCTTTCTTTGATAAAAAAAAAGCAGAGAACATAAATGTAACATAAAATTACACAGAAGATTCAATGACTAAATTTAATATCAGTTTCAGTATTTAGTGTGTCCACTCTGTGTTTATTGCAGCTTCCATTCTTTTCAGGAGACTCACTTTCAGTTTTTCAAAGAAATCTGCAGGGATATTTAGTTCAGTCTTCAGAAATTTCCATTACATGTAAAACTAAATGCACCAATCAGATGCCCAGATGCTCTTATTCACTTCAGCCACATGAACGGCTGTAACAAATGTGTGCTTGCAGCCAGTGCTAGGCCTAAGCCAGACTAAGCTCTCAATACCTTGGTCAAATGTAATTGAAATTTAATCCAGCAAAGTAGCAGCACATTTCCTGATGGCTCTCTGCAATGACATTAGGCTCTGAGCGCACTCTGTGTGTGAAAGGGTGAACGTAATGCTGCCCACTCTAATACTCAGCTGCTTTCTGCCTGCATTACCGAGGCTGGGCAGATAACAAAGGTTGTGGAGTAAATATGGATTTGGCATTGTTGAAAGAGCTGTCTGAAGGAGAGAAACGTCAACATGAGGTCACAGCTGTCATCGGTGGTAACAAAAGCACGTTGTAATTTCATATTAATTATACACGTTTAACAAAAACGGGTTCTATGTGGTACTGAAAAGGGGTTCTTTGACTTGTAACAATAGTACAACAATTTTTGGTGCTATATAGAATTAGATTTTTAATAAGGTCTTTAAAGAACCCTGGAACAACTGGAACTAGAACTATTTGACCATACAATGAACAATTTAAGCATTCAAGTGGTTCTTTAAGTGCTCTAAGTTTAATATAGAACCATTGCCTTTACTAAGAACCCTTGAAGAACTATTTTTTTTAAGAGTGTAGCTCATTGAAACAAGGGGGAGGTTCTGCTGAAAGTGCAGATTCTAAACTCGAAGAGGAACTATTTTATAATTTGGATTTGATGAAAAGTCATTGAAGCAATACAGTGATACAGTGCGTTACAGTGATTTTTTTAAGGGTTAAGGGTGTTATTAGGCACGATGTGAAGTAAAGTCCCCTCACCTGTGATAAAATCACTGTAACACATGGCCTCAGGTGGCTTATTGCTTTTATAAAACAGCAGACAACATAAAATGTTGTTACTCCTCTGTTTTGCGAATTCACGTCTACGGGTAGGGTGTCCCAATTTTTATTGAGATAGAGGGGTAGGGCAAAGTGTTAGGGCTACATGTCCCTCCAAAAAGAGGTTTTTCAGAGACTCCAAACAGAGTGATATGAGAAAAAAAGAAAAACGGCAAGATGGCTGAACAAGAGACCAAAGAAACCCACAAATGTGAGAATTTATCCGCTAACAAATCACAATAATCACTGTATTATCTTAGTTTAATGTTGTTTCAGTGTATTATGGTCGTTTTCTTCATAACAAGCATAAAAAAATCGCTAATAGCATGCTAATGTCGGTAGCTAGCTAGCTAACTTTCCTGTTCCACCTTAAATAGTCCAGCAGTTCTGATGCATGAAGTACCAGAATGTAACTGCTGCACCATTTAAGGTGGAACGGGAAAATTTGAACAAGAAGCTGGTGAATATCTGACTTCAGCTTCATATCACTGAAGAATTAGTGGTGGGTGATAATAAATAATTGCCCCCTCTTTGAAAGCATATGATTCCCTAAATGTAGCTAAAGCCCAGCAGTGAGGAGCTGAACTTTACCCTCCTCTGCTATCACTGTAGACGGGCAGTGTTGCCTACAGAGCACTGCTAGAAGCTACTCAATGTTTTTTTTTGTTTGTTTTTTTGTTTTTTTTGAGGGTCCCATTTCATAGGGCAAGATTTCAACCACTACCCCTTGTAACTCAGTTCCAAGGGGTTAGGGTGACACTCAAAGACAAGGGGTAGGGGTAAAAAAGTTAAGCTAACTAGCAAGCAAGGTAGCTAATTAGCCGAAATATATGTAATTTGTGGTTATTATGAAGTTTCCAGCTGGTTCTCGAGCAGGTGAGGAACGAACTAGAAGTATGTGGGCAGCACTGTTTGTTTTGCATATGCAGTGGAAAAACATCCTTAAATAGTTAAAATAATATAGCAAAATAACAATAAGACCTCAAGACCTCTAAGGGTTAAAGAGCTTCAGTCCTCACTTGTTTTCACTCCTTGAGATCACTGGCTGTTTTGATGAGCTCTATTTCTAGATTTAATGACTGAGGATCACACCTGTAAGAAGTATGTGACGCTCCCCCCAGAGCCCAGGTCTTTATCCACAGCCTGAACTTTAAAAATGCTGCTCCCTGCTTCAGCATCCTTCAACAAAACACAAACAAACACAATGTCATCAGCATGACACATCGATAATTACATTACACTGCATCTTTACATGGGGGAGTAAACTGCTTCATAACCACCGGCGCCATCTGTTTCATTTGCAAGGCACAACATGATGCCGTATTTCAGAACACCAGAAAATGAAGGACAACATTCAGCACCATTCAATAACAGCCAGATAACAGAGAGAGAAGTGGCAGGAGTGCAGCACGAAGCCATCAGTAATCTGTTACTGACCTCAGGGACACTGACGATGAAGGGCAGGTTTAGAAACTCAGGCTTTTCATCGTTAGCGTCTGTGACAAACACTCTTCCTTTCTCGACCACCTGAGAAAACAGAAGCATAAAACAAACTACAGTCCAAACATCTGTCATGCAAACTTTGGTGTTAAAGTTTGCAGAACATTTCTGTACATTTTGAAATTAGTGTTAGATGCACAGCTACCCGTAAAAGCACAGTTCAAAGTTTCTTAAGATTTTACAGATACAGCACGACAGTAACGGCACAAACCATGACAAGTTAAAGGTTTATTTTATTTACCGTAGAAAGGCGCTTTAGCCATTTACACTTACAGCCACTTAAGTAAAGTGACTGTGTCTGTGTCTTTTTATGCTTAATCAATGAACATGTCACTTTATAGTCAATTGTTAATTGCAATCATAAGGCACATCATACAGTTCTGCTAAAATATGTTAAGATATGCCAGTTCACTGTTAGAAGTGTGAAAATATTAAATAATTTCTAAGATTTTAAGAACAGAAAACTTTAAATGGTCTAAGTAATGCTCCTAAAATGCTATTTTTTTCCTTTTTATATGCTGAGTTTAACATATTGGGAAAAAAATTAAATATAAAATGTGCCGTAACTTTCGACACATTTTATGTTCTATTTTTTAATGTTAAATTCAGCAAAAAAACAGTGATTGTACATTAAAATGTACAGAAGTGTGCTCTCTGTAGAGGACGTGTAACTTAGTAACACTCAGAAAATCAACAACACGTCATTTCACCAGGGGCGCCCAAACTTTTGCACAATTCTGAGCTACACTGTAAAAATGAACAGTGTAGGAGTCAATCTGAACTGTTTGTGAGGTTTGAACTGATGTAAAATATCGATTTTGTCCATAACTAAAAGTTTGCTCTGCGTTGTTTCATTCATTGTGTTTATTTGATCCGTGTCCTAAATGTTGGTTTCGGTTTCAGCCTGAGTTTTTCACCACAGTGCATCACTAATCTTCTAAATTAGAAACAATTTTACTTCTAAAAATCCTTCAAAAGGAAGTGAGCAAGCATGTCCAGCCGTATTACCTTATTCCTGCCATCAGTGATGCTGACAAGCACGGCTATTTCATCCTCTACCTAAATAAGAAGCAAGACATCAGTTAACTCTTCCAGAAACCTGCACAGACTTTGTTTTACAGACATGCCAGATATGATTGTACATATTGTAAATTACTGCAGCACTACTGCAGATGAAACTCACCTCTCGGTCCAGCTCTGAGATCAGAGTGACCCTGCCGGATTTAGGGTCAACCCGGAAGTACTCTTTAGAACCTTTTTCGAAGGTCAGGCCATACCTGACGCTGTCTCCCTCAGGGTCAGTACCATTCAGAGTGTATACCTGAGCTCCTGTGGTGGGAAAAGTATGAGGATAACATCATCAGAGAAATGATAACAGTACTGACCACTAAGTTTTACTATAGAAATTTCATAGTATCCCAAAAAAACTCTAAAAAACAGAGATTGTACTTAATACATTCTCTGTCTACTTCATAAGAGATTCCTCCCTCATAGCTCACTTGCTAGTCAGTGGCAGTTCTAGAATTATTTTTTTTGGATCAGGCCACAATGTTGGCCACACTTCCTGTTCAGGGGCCAAATCAATTCTTTCAGATCAAAGAGCTCTATAAGTCCAAAATGATAACTTTGCAAGAAAAGGCAAAGGCAAAAATGTTTAAATGCAAGTTAATGTAAAGAGGTTTTAATGATTACACAAGTGATTTTGGAGCATCTCTATTGGTCCATTTTTCATGAAATATTTACATAATGTGAAGGACAGCTGGTGCACTCAAATTATGCAGAAAAATAAAAATCTATTTAAATGGAGATACGTGTTTTATTTTTGGAAAGCGATCATATATTACTCAATGTGTTCTACATTTAGCAGCAGACATGGTAAAATATATAATCACAATGCTAAAAATTTCACTACTAAATTTTTAATTTTTAATTGCAATTGCTAACAATTTAACTGTATACAGATATGCAGAAACCGACCTCTTGTACGGGGTCCAGAGGCTTGGTCCTCCAGAGAAAGTTTTAGTGGTTTGAAATGAAATTTAAGCACTATGGAGAGTAAAACACAAGGAAAATAGCAGCTGCTGTAGACCAGAGGTATCCAATCCTAACTCTGGAGATCTCCCACCCTCTAAAGTTCAACATGCACATCTAACACGCTTGTCTGTAACATTCAGATGTCTCTGAAGGCCTTTATTACCAGGATCAGATGTGTTAGATTACAGTTGGAGTTAAACTCTGCAGGGTGCCAGGTCTTCAGGACCAGGATTGGGTATCTCTCTTGCAGACTGGCTCAGCTAACTGAGTTGAACAGCTATGCCAATGTAAGTCATGTCAACAACTGTACTGCTTTCTCTGCATTTTAAATTATTTGTTTAAAATAACTTATTGCTTACCATACCAGAGTCAAAAGGTCAGTTTGTATGGAATTTGTCAGACATCTCCTTTTGAGATCCCTCCTCAACTGTTAATATAAATAGAGGACATTCTATTGCGTTCTGTCCGCTGAAATGCCTATACTGGCTCCATAAGGTGTGAGGTGCTTGGACCCCTATGATTGCCTCTTATAATGCAATATGAAGACAATCGCATTGAGACAATCCACAGAAACAAATATGCTCTACATCAATTTCAGACAAAAACAAAACCTGATTGTCTAACTTTTCAGCAACAGATGTTCTATTATAATTGTAACATATTGGATCTATAATGGGGGTGGATCTCCTTAACTTCCATATATGAAAATGAATAAAAGTAGTAATTACATGGATTATTAATGACAGGGCACATAATAACACAACTTGATGTGTCGAAGTTGATGTGTTTAAGATGTGTAAGTTTATTAATAAAAAATTCCACTAATAAAGTATCCACTAATTTCAAGGATTATAAGACTAGGATGTTTTAAACGGTCTACATAATGCTCCCGAAATGCTACTTGTATCTTCATTTTGGCCAGCAAGCTCTTAGGATGTGTTGTGACCTACAGCAATGGGCAAGGATGCAGAAAGTGGGGGTGTTGAGGGGGCTGCAGCACCTCCAGAAGGAGGATTCCACTGCAAAATAATAATAACAGAACTGATTTTGTTCTTCAGAAATGATTTATACATGTTCAAAATCTGCAGTAGTAGCACTGTTTAAGTTAATACTGCATTTTGCAGGGATTTGAATCGCTTCCCTCGCCAACCGTTGGCTGCTTTGGGGGCATCACTAAAGCACAAACAGGGGCTGTAGCCCAGTTCTGTACCCTGACGTGGCCTAATATTGTTCGAAAACCTTTCTTAACGTAAAAATATACATAATTATTTCTCACTCCCAACCATTGTAATGATCTCTTGACTACATGTGTGACGCAAGCACGGGTTTCCTGGCTCACATCAACAATCTGATTGGTCGACACTCAGCTCATTTGCATACAGTTTGTCCAGCTGGAGAGAGCAGAGAGAGCAGCAGGGTGAGCTTTAGCTGTGGTTGCTGTGTCAGTTACCCGTGCACAGCTGTATGGTGTCATCTATTTCCAAATAACTCAAATGAAAAGAGGAAAAAAGCACAGTATGTTACGGGACGTGCAAAGATGAAAACCCGTGAGAAAAGGTGTTGATTAAATTTATTGAGGCAATGGAGTGTGAATTTGGCACGTTGGAGTTGAGGTGGCCCAGAGCCATGCTCGAATCACCGATGTACTGATCGGAGGTCCATGGAGTTACCGCTGCGCCACCGGGAAGCACAGGCAACACTGGGAAAAACACCTCAAGGAATGGGAAATAGAAAGGCGGGAAAAAGGGCCAACAAAGGGGACGCTAAAGGAAGCTCAAACAAAGGCTGAACTAGAAACGTGAAATAAAAGAAAATGAGAAAACAAAAATGACTTCCTCTGTAATTATGAGGGGAAGGCAGACTTTATGTTCATTTGTTTGCTCTTAGTGGAGCAAACAGCTTTGTATGGCTTGGAGCCGTTTGTAGCTCAAGCCTTCCTGTTTTTTTTTTATTTTGAAGAAGTTTTGGGGCAGTTACTTTCTTTCGTTTCTTCTAGCTCTCTTTTCTTTTCTTTTTCTTTTCTTTTTGTTCAAATACCCTCCTGGGCTAAGTACCATTCCAGTCACCCCTCTACAAAGGTGTGACAAAGTGCTGCTGTTTTCCACGGCCTTAAGTAGAGGAGTCCACAGGTGTGTCAGGTTGGGCCTAATCAGCCTGAGGGCTTCTGGGACTTGGAGTTTCCTGAAGTTATAGCACTTCACTTGGGCACCTTGCCGCCGTTGCCCTCTGCTGGCAGCGCAGGCTGGACCCTTACATAGTATTTAGCATGAGGCTAAGGAATTTGTCATGAATATGCTGCTAAAAATTTAAGCACCCCCAACCTAATACGCCTTCCTGCATCCCTCACGATGGCTGTTTATCACCTAGTTTTAAATTAATTAAGAAAAAAAGATGTGAGAAATCCTAAGACAGCACACATATAAATCAATAAATACAAACATAATTTCCTTTCAAAACGCGTTTGTGTATGAATAAAGAGTGTGCTTATGTCTGACTTTGCTTGAGACACTGAGTGGAAGTAAAAGGCAGGAATTTCTAACGAAGTGTACTGTGTGCAAGTTATTATTGTACACAAAATAAAAAATGTTATTATAGGACGTGATTTCAAACAATTAAACAATAGTGTGCCAGTGAAATAGGTAGAAATATTTTTTGAGTCAGTTTGTGAAAAAGTTAGGTAGGCAAATTAGGTTGTGGTAATACTTCACAATGTCATATCATCAGCCTATAGCCCATTCCTGACAGCCATGCATTCATCACCCTACCTATTCCAACAATCGACCAGAATGCAAGGCTCATACTAACACGGCAGAGGTGGCAAATCTTTACTATAAAGCAAACGTCCATTCATCACAGACCCGACCCAAAGAAGATATGGCTGAGTTAAAAGCAGACATTTGAGACGTGCAAAGATGAGGAAAAAATGACTTAAAAACCTAAACCTCATCATCAAAGCCAAAAACGTACTGCCACAGTGGGTCTAAAACATGTTTATGATCCATTAGTGTCTTACCTTTGATGTATTAAACCAACATTCATGTTTGCTTTGACATTTTCAGAAAGTCTATTTAAGCCTTTGTAGTAAAAGAGCAATATAAGTACTAAATTTGCGGAAAACTGACAACAACATTTTGTTTTCTTTCCAGCATTGGACTGATAAAAAACAACATAATTTATGGGACTGAATGTCACTTTGAAACACCCCCAGGTTTCAAATACGAACTCTGGCATGTAACGAAATGAAGGCTTGAGGATATGGCAGACGGCCATAGCCTGTTTATATAGCAAGTGGAGGGCTGAGAAAAGAAGGTGGAGCTTGTTAGAGAGTGTAATGATTTGACTAGCCATAATAAAATGACAACACTCACAGAAAACAAATCTATTTCCATTATCTTAAAGTAATTCAGCTTAATGAACATTTTCCCCATTTGATTGGGTCAGCCTACCCATGGCTGCGCCCCTGTTCTGTATATATAAGTACTCACTATTGAATGTTACACACGTTATACAGATAAATATAATGATGAATATTAGTCCAGATATTTGTTGGATGTCATATAGCATTCACGTGTATAGCATCTAATAATTAGCTGAGATACGTATATATCAAAATAAAAGAGTAATGGGAAGTTATATCAGCTTCCAGTTGATTTAATCTGATCCAATGTAGTTTTTGCAGCTCAACAACTGCCGTCAAAACCCCACGTCAGGTGTCAACTGAGTCAGCACAGACTATTTTGCTGGTCTAATGTGCTGCATGTACTTATCAGCAAAAGTACATAAAAAGCTGAAAAATCATTACCATCATTTTAAATGTTAATCCAGCTCATCGTTTTTCTCACTGAAATAGTGTCTTATATGAAATATACATCGATCAGGCATAACATTCTGACCACCTCCTTGTTTCTACGCTCATTGTCCATTTTATCAGCTCCACTTACTATATAGGTGCACTTTGTAGTTCTACAGTTACAGACTGTAGTCCATCTGTTTCTCTGGATACTTTGTTACCCCACTTTTACCCTGTTCTTCAGTGGTCAGGACCCCATGGACCCTCACAGAGCAGGTACTATTCGGGTGGTGGATCATTCTCAGCACTGCAGTAACACTGACGTGGTGGTGGTGTGTTAGTGTGTGTTGTGCTGGTACGAGTGGATCAGACACAGCAGTGCTGTTGGAGTTTTTAAACACTGTGTCCACTGACTGTCCACTCTATTAGACACTCCAACCTTGTCAGTCCACCTTGTAGATGTAAAGTCAGAGACGATAGCTCATCTGCTGCTGCACAGTTTGTG